ATGTTTTTTGACTTTGAGCCTTACTAAAATAAAGCTCCAGTCTATGCTTTGCGTCTGATTCCAAGATAGCTACAGGTGTCTTTTGGTGACGTCACGGTTGTTGCGTACGGCAGATTTGAAAAGAAGCTGTTTTTGGTACAAAGAATGTAAAAATAGTAGCTTGAGGTTGAGGCTATCTCTTTGCGTATGTGCATGGCAATCCTTGCCTGCAATGTCCATATAGACAGAGAGAATGCTAGCAACCAACGATGGAATTAATCGCTGGCAATATTAATACTCGTAGCAAATCTGACTACATAAGGTAACTAAATCTTATTTATGATACAATGAATGTCATTGTTGCATTCAAATATATGCCATCCATTCTTGAGTATTTCAGAGGCTCTCTCAGCCTCGCGTCCTGACGATAATCATTTCTGTACAGTAGAGACCACATAATGCGCTGCTTGCAAAGACTTCGCAGCACAGCCCTAACCTATACAAACTACTGCACATAGCCATTCACAATGGCCCTAAGCAACTGATGCGCGACGGCGGTGGGCGGTGGAACCCTCAGTTTCCCTTCAGCAAAGTGTGGAGGTGCCGGTTCTCCCATAGGAATCGCCCGGAGGTTCAACGCCTCCTCAACTTCGGCCAAGTCAAACCACTTCGCATCTCCCAGCTCTTTGTCGTGGTAGGTAATTTCCTCCGCTCCGGGGAGAGCTTGTGCAATCGCGCCAATCATCAGACTCGACGGGTATGGCCATTGTTGCGTGCTGTGGATGACGACGCGACCGATGCGAACTCCGGTCTCCTCGTAAACTTCGCGCCGTGTAGCTTCTTCGGCCGACTCGCCTGGCTCGCAGAATCCGGCCAAGGTACTGTACCACCATGGTTGCCAACGGTTGTTGTGGCCAAGCAGGGTCCGCTTCCCATCGTTGGACACGACTGCGACAATGATGGATGCATCCGTACGAGGGAATGAAACGTTGGAGATGGTGTTTCTCGCTGCACATGGCGGGCGCTCCACCGCGGCCGATCCAGCAGCTGCTGACGCCAGGTCCTTCGGAGGACAGGCTCTCTTGAAGCCGGCCTGGACCGAAAGGGTCGGTTGCCCACACTGTGAGCAGAACGGATTGCGGTTGTTCCAGTCGATGACAGCTCGTCCCATCGCAAAGATGGCAGCTACCAAAGTCAGCATACAAAGTCCAAGATAAATTCCGTGAGAAGTCGGTGGTATATGCCCATCACTGTATGGATTTATTACCTTCTTCCGGGGAGAATTTCATGTGCGAACGACCATGGAAGAATTTCAGCCCTTTCGCCTCCAGAGCGGAGATCACCGACTCTGCCTGTTCCTTAATAGTCCCCTTCGGAGTGACATCCAGGGCAAAGTACGGCGCACCAGAGTACGACTTGTACGTGATGCCGTTTTTCTGTCTTTCGTCCAGCCCAAGCAGGACCAGCAACGGTCTCGTGATAGTCGAATTGTATTCCTCAATCAGCTGGGCTTCACTGCCCCGGAATGGATCATTGCCGACCAGAGGCGCCACATCCTTGTAGGAGACGAATGCAAGTTTGGACTCGTCCTTGACGAGTGGTCCATTGTTCTGAAACAGCAGAAACGACGTGGAAGGGTGCTTCACTGCCGCATTCAGGAACGTATGGTCACCCCGAAGGAACCCAACTCGATTGAACGGCAGCCCTGTTATTCAGGACATGGTTAGAAGGATGCAAGTCCGAAGTCAACGAGCTGTGTTTTACCAGCAAAATAATTCGTCACCTCCTTCCCGAATTTGCGACTCAACATATCGTCGTCGAATGCCATTTCCCCAGGTCCACTGCACGTGGCGCTCTTCAATAAACAGACACCGTTTATATAGTCGCTGTCACGCGGAGGATTCGACTTAGAAGGCGATCAAAGCGGCGGAGATCTTTCCAATGAACGGTTGACACGAGGCGCAAGGGAAGGATTCTTGCAGTACTAGTGCACTTGGAAGCAAATGGGGACCAGCGATCTAAAGTACTCTGCATACGAATCCCGCATTGCGATGGTTAAACCCCGAAAAAGACCTGTCCATCTCCACTTTCCTGTCACAGACATGCTATTCGACGAATGAAGTGAAGCAGAAGGTGAGGAGAAAAACGCGCGTCCGGATGCAGGCGTCACGAAAGCGGCTCCACGCGCGGGGGATCTGGGATCGAGGCTGGATCCTACGCTGTCGATCACGCCTGATGAGGAGAATCGGCAAGATCGGCCAAATCGGCATTTTTGTTCTCCTCTCCTCATTCTCCGCACATGCCGAATCGGGCTGTGGGCGGCTTCCGGGCCGACCCGGATGTCTCCCGAAGCCGAAGAATGGCGATGTTGAAACGCCTCGATATGGAGTCTTCTCTGCTGTAGAATTAATGGAGTCACGTCATAACTTACGTTTCGGGGCTTCACACTGAATTACGTGTTTTGTGGCTGTCCTATATTATGATTGGGTACTACTTCACTAATGTCTGTGTTCGTCATTTTTATATATCCGTGCACCAGTACTTCTGCACCAACAAACACGAGGCGAGCTTTGAGCAGATCAGAGGTAGGCAATATATATGATAATTAGATATATTGATAAAATAATTATTGCATCCAAGAGACTTTCATGTCTAAATTCCCTCGCGACTCGAACAATCAGCTCTCCGCCTTTCTGGCCGGTACAGATTACAATAAACATACCTCCTGAAGTCTTGTTATTGGCCGTAATATCAAACATCCATACATCGCGTGGAATTTAACTTCTGTCATGTACGCCAGGTGGAACCGACGTCACGTCTGTCAAACTGAGGACCCTGGAGGACGAAGTCAAACTCATACTTAATCTGCGGTACTAATCTCATGATGGACTAAAAATTCACCAAATCACTAAAATCGATGTCATCTTACCAAATGAATGTGGAAAACGTACCCATTAACTGATCTCACTATAGAAAGGTAGAAATCCCATTTGGTTGGTCTGGATATCATAATCTCCCATCCAGCTTGGTGGTTGGGCAACGCCTAATCGCCTGTGGATTGTGGCTGACGGCTTTCCTATCTTAGTACCACTTAGCCTCCCCTCTTGCACTGTAGTTGAGATTAAGTTGAGTACAAACCTTATCCGTACCCCGATGGTATGTTATAGTGATAGCATTGTGGGCATGAAGGTAGGGAAAACATCATATTACGGGCTATAAAGATTAAGCAACTGTAGTTATCGCGCTTCTTATTTATTATAATGACCTTATTTAGATAGATATTCGTAGCTGTTGTATACTACCTGCGGTTATGGATGGTGACTTGTACGAATAAATTCAGCTGCTTGATGCTTTTCTTTTAACTTGTCTTCATATAAATATCAACTCGTTCACCCTTATTAATCTTGTTATCATATTTTCTGCCGTGAATTACAAAAGCCTTGAGCATGAGAACCTGGATCTGGAAATATAGCATCTCGAAGAGTATTAATCCTACACTCTGCGTCGACTCAAACACACGTACGAACGCATGTCACGGAGAATCTTGGACACAAAACAGGCTTGTGCTGCTGGCCCAATGTCTGACGTTTTCTCAGCCACGATTATAGCCTTCTGTCCATTCGGCACACTCTACAAGTGCGCGTGAGAGGAACCGATAATCTATAACTGGTGTTACTTATGTCTCCCCAAGTATGACACTATCTGAAACAATCACAATCAGCCCAGAAAGTCCAACCTATCCATGCCGAAGCCCAGGTCGGGAAAGTCGGGTTCGGCGGAATCGAAGAGGCCATCCCACAGAGACAAGCTGGTGGAATCCGGCGGTCCCGTCGGAAGAGGCGGAGCAACGTCTGCCGCGAAGAAATGGTCTGGCGGTGTCGGCCTGGCGGTTTCTGAGGGGAGAACATCCGTCTTCAGTGTCTCTTTATACGTGTCGTACAACATGCTGATCAGTTCACAACTCCGCTTGGCCGCCACGCTCCAGGGCTCCATCTTGCGGAGCAAGTCGATAGATTTCTGGACCTGTTGGTTCCAATCATCGACATGATGACTCTCGTCTTTAAATGAATACAGACAGAGCAATGGGATGATGCTGGCCTGGAAGAGGTACCAGACTGCCGGCCAGCCGGAGAACTGGTTTTCGGACCATTCGGAGCCAATGCACTCGATGGCATTTCGCGCCAATGATTGGCATTTTCTCACGCAGACCTTCTGGTCCGCGTCAAGATCTTGAAATGCAACACGTCGAAGGACAGCATCTAGAAGAATAGGCCGGTGGAGGATGATCCGGAGGTTTTGATACCGCCATTTAGATGATGCCCGGGGTTGTACGAGCCACGTGGGGCAGGGATTCGGGGGCTCGCAAGAAGGAAGGCAAGCTTTCGTGCCAGCAGACAAGGTGGGCATCGAGCGTCAACATTTCGGAGAAGGATAGGAGCGGAGACGAGACGAGACGCTCTTGGATGCGACTGGCCAGCCTGGAGAATTCGATGTCGGCGATGAGCATTGAATAAACCGTCGGTCCGGACACCACTTCTCCCGTCTATATATTCCCCACGTTAGATCCGTCGATATATGATCTAAGTATCGGAATAGAGGAATGTCATTACCTTGTCGTCGATGTTCCTGGGAAGGTTCACTGCAAAGTCGAAAATAGGCCTGTTCGAGATACGACCGAAAGTGGTCGTCTCATTGGTATCCAACACCACCAAGCTCCACCATATGCGTCGTCTGAGCTCTCTTTGCTTCGCATTCGGTGTCCCTTCTCCGCCAGGGAGCTCTCTGTGGAGCCCAAGCGCGTACGCCATTCGGAAGACAGCTCCCAGAATGGCCGAAGCCATATTGGGTCGGTTGCGATAGTGCAGATACCAACCTGCTATCAGGATGAGTGCCTGCAATGTCTCGAGATGGCCGCTGCCAAAACTGTCGAAGCCAATGTAGGACTTGGCGACGTTGTAGTAGTAGATATCGTCGTCCGAGTCGGACGTTGTCGCGGCGATCGTCCCGAGGGCGAAAACCATGTTCAGCAGCGCGAACCATGCTGGGTCCTGACTCTTTCCTGACTCAAAGGTCGCGCGAAACTCAGCTTCGTCGAGAATTGGAGTGACGGGATGAACATGCGTGAAGTAATTGTCGATCAATTCTCGATGATCTCGAGCAACACGAAGCGGAACATTTGACGACCGAGATGGTTGCGTCAGGGACGGCACTCCAGCGCCTCCTTTAATACTCTCCTGCCGAGAGAATATCGTATCAGGGGCGATCTTCAACAGGACTCGAAGACCAGCTGCGGCGGAGGATGCACCCAAGTAAGAAGAACCGCGGTCCCGCCGTAGGGACAGGGAATTGACGTCGTCGGCCACGGCCACTGCTTCAGTTCCAGCTAAGCTGTTGACGGGTTCATCGTATTCGAACGTCCCGGACCGGCCATCGTTGGAGAAGTCAGGCAAGTCCGATGGATTGCTCGCCTGCGCGCTCTGCTGAGGAGATGGATTGCTCTGACTGCCCGGCGGAAAGGGACTGGTTTGCCATCGCGACGACTGGAGTAGATCAATCAACGCATCACGGGTCAGAGGTGCCAGGGAGTCCAAATCAGTGCAAGGAAGAGACGATCGAGGATGCTGGTGGCGCGGTCTAGCCGCAGACGCAGCGCATCGAACGACTTGCGCGTCAGGTTCTGTCTCTTTGTCTGCTGGGCGTAGAAACACCGCTCGGGATGCTTGTACCACTTGCAGTAGTGGCAGGGCAGCTTGCCATCGCACCGCACTTTGCGTCGCTTGCAGTCCGTACACGCTTGTTTGATCTTGGGCAGCACGCGCGCCTTGGCAGCTCCGTCTGGTGATGAGTTCTCAACCATCGCATCGCGCATGCTCTAAAGACCGATAGGTTGATGGTATCCCAGACCGGTGCGTTAAACGACTGCTGCTGCTGATCCGATTATTGACTTGCCTTGGGCAATTCGTATAGAGCGGAAGTGACAAAGTGGCCAAATCGAGAAAACCACGGGGGATAGGGCAACCAGCAAACTGACGAATAGGAAGCAAGCTCCTACTGGATCCTTAGCTCGTTCTTTTTAGATTAAAATTAAATTCTCGGTCGAATCTCCGGCGTTACGAAGCGATTAAGTTACGATTTACTGCTTTATCGGGTTGCACTCCGGACTCCGAACCATTTTGTATTGATCCCACCTCGAAAGTCCATATTGTCATCTTTGAATTCTAGTCCAACATGCCGCAGAGGGTGGCAAATATTTGTGTACGTCGAGGAGTCATTTTCCCGCGAGCAGCAGCTGTGATGTTAAGTCAACAGTTCCTTACTAGAAAGGCCGCTGCATCCATTCTGCATCGTAGTTACTGTCCATCCATGCACGCTTTGATGAGGACATAGTCTGTTGCAAAATACGAAGTCCTGTTCTCTTCGCTTTCCAGGAATTTTACATGAGTTCGTCCTCAAATCCAGATTCAGTAAGACTGATACGCTGGAAATGGATGCCGCTCACATGGCGGAGTCACGCAGACAGAAATCGTCGACTGCGTCTTGTAGCACAGTCGACGATAGCGCCGTTGCGATTACCCCGCACAGAATGTTCACTGTTAGCTTCATCGATAATGCTTTAGCTTCGGTCTTGTATCCACTACTGAGAGATAGCCCCAGACAGGTCCCTGTTAGATGGTAGCTAGTCTTGTCATCTTGAATCTGCACCAATCCTCTTTGACGGCCAGTCTTCACAACTTTGATCCATGAGACGCTGAAACACTGGCGAGTCGCCTAGCGAGCTGCATTAATTTAATTCAACTTCTGTCTCTCGGAAAAGCGAGCTGTCTTCCGATCACGTGGACGGCGCTGTCCTCTCCGTGTTCGCTGCCATGGCATTCAGTTCATTTGATTAGCTGAGGTTCTTCGACTACAAAGGCGCTCCTTCACTGATAGAATAATGCTCGCTGCATTGTATTTTGTAGCAGGGTCCAACTGGTTCGAGGTGCTCCGTCATGCAACTCGCTATCAGCGCAGGAAATATATATTTAGCAGTTCGGACAGAACGGAAACATTACTCAGACGTAACAAGGATTAAGTCGACAGTCATTTAATAGCACGATGTTCATCACTCGCCTTGCAGTGTTTCGAATGTATAGCCTTTGAACTTCCGCGGAGGAACACCCTCCTCGAACATGTGGTCCAATTCCTCAAACGTCCGGTTTTTGGTCTCCGGCAGCCGAAAGAAGCACCAGATCGTAGCGAGGATGCTCAGCCCGCCAAAGAAGAATCCTGTCTTGCCTCTCCAGTTGCCCGAGGACGCATTGATCATGTAGGGGAAAATGATCGTGGTGATAATCTGAAAGACGGATCCGATCCCCTCCGCCAGAGCCACCGTGTGCGATCGCAGACGGGCAGCTCCGACTTCTGCAAGGATGGCAAAGGCGACAGGGCCAATCGTGCCTTGGTAGACCAGCGTCAGCAGATCCAAGAACACCGCTTGGGTCCAGGTGTAGGCGGGGTGGGAGGTATAGTTTGGAAGACAGTCCAAGATGCCGATAAGCAAGAGACAGAGAGCCATGATGCCCACGCCGCCCATGTAGATCCTCCGTCGGCCGGTCAGCGACATGAGAAACCACGAACCGCAGGTGGCAACAAAACCAATCGCCGTGTTTCCCAGTCCCATGTCGAACGAGGCCGCGACTGGCATGCCGGCCAGTTCGAAGAAGTATGTCGCATAGCCGATGAGAGAGATGCCCGTCACAACCTGCCAGACCTGGACCATGACGGCAACCTCAGTGCGAATGCGATTGCTGCCGCGGAAGCACTCGACGAAAGTGACGCCCTTCTGGACTTCCATCTCATGCAGGAGCGTTGACTGGATCATCGCCAGCGTTGCCTGGATGTCAGCCTTCGGAGAATCAACGGCCAACCGGCGGAGAGACGCTTCGGCCTCTTTTATCCGACCCTGCTTGGCGAGCCACCAGGGCGATTCAGGCGCGAAGGCGATGGCCAGGGCAAGGAAGGGAATCCACGTCCACTGGACCGCAAAGGGGATGCGGTATGCCCACTGGTCTGTCCGGGTCGACACGCCCTGCCCAACGCCGGCCGCGATGAATTGGCCGATGACATAGGCCAGGTTGATGGAAGCATTGAGGATACCGCGAAGACAAACTGGACACACCTCCGACGCGTATGTCGGGGCCAGCACGACGTAGGTGCCGTACAGCAGACCCGCCAGGAATTCTCCCGCCGCAAGGACATGGATGTTGGGCGCGAACATCTGCAGAAAAATGAAGGATGTTGTGCAGAATAGTGACACGGCAAAGACCTTTCTCCGTCCCCATCGCTCCATGAGATGGGAGGCAAACAGCGCCCCGAGACACTGGCCGACGGGCGTGCCCATGCCGAGCACGTTCTGCCATTTGGCGGAGATCTCATAGCCAATTTCAGGGCCGTAGTACTGGCCGTATTTCTGCGTGAAGGCAGGCAGCGCGTACAAGGAGAAGATAATTCCTGAATCGTAGCCTACCATGACGAGCGCCCAGCAGAAGATGGACGCCCAGAAGATGGCCTTGGGGTAGAGCTTGATCGCCTCGATCGTGCCCATCGAGTGCTCCCGTTCAGTCGCCAGCTTGGACTGTTCATGGAAAAGGATATTGTCTTTCTTCACGTCTGCAGCCATTTTGGACTCACCAGCGCTGTCGGTCGTGTTCCCCGACGTGGTTATCTGGCTCTGAAAACGCAAAATATGAGAATGATTTTAATGTCAATAGAGAGAAGCTCTGGATGGAGGATTTCTCCGTCTGAAAAATGTGTTCCCAAGCTATCGATTAAGTATTACTGCCGGTTCAGGCCCTGATAAGCTTCCTGCATACAGGCCGCCAATTTCATAGGGTCAGCTTGTGCCAGGCCGACGCAGAATGCCCCCGTGGGGAGTTGCCTCCGGCATAGAGGAATTCAGATTTGGAAGCTTTGAAATCTCCTATCTTGTGCGATCGATAACTATCCAGTTAGCGGCATTCAACTTGCGTCGCGCCAACTGTGTCGGGCAGTTGCTCGTCCAAGAGACTGATAGCCCAAGATATGATTCGACTAGCAGGGCTTGCGCCAATGCAACCACTTAACTGTCGACCAGTCTATGGGTAATTCCGATGATTTGGACTTTCAAATTCACTGAGTCAGTATGAGTGTTATCGGATAACTTGAATAGCGTTCGGTTAAGTTGACAGTGATATTAAACGCTTTCAAAAGGAGGAATTAGAACAGACTAGAAAGAATTATGCAAAAGGGCATGATAAGACATCAACACCCAGTCTAACTGTTTTCAACAACGCAGGATGTAACGGTAGCTCTCCTATCCTACTCTGCGGAGGTCGACATCCGTGTTCCCCCGCGACGGATGGTTGTCTCCCGCCAATCGGCCTGAAACAGGCTTGATCGTCGATAAGATATACACGCTTTTCTGTATGGAGTATGCACAGAGATAGTCTATGGACTTCGAATTGGTGTAACTATTCACTATCAAATTGTTCAAAGTCCAGAGCAGTCATCTGTCGAAGATATATAACCTAACGCCAACCTTTTACGATAGGATCAGTCCCATAACCACTCGTATTAATAGAGAAAGGATAACAGAGCGAGGCTGTCTAGAAGCTCACAATGGCGCCCAGCACGCAGCCGACGACGAACGTGTATATGCCCGACCTGCCGCCGCAGAAGCTCAACAGGCCCGTCGAAGTGAAACCGTCTCGCGAGGAGATTGCTCGCGGCCGATTCAACGACGCGAATATCAAGCTCTTTCTGTCGGGAATGCACCGCGATGGCGTGGTCATTTTGAAAGACGTGATCGACCCTGCCCATCTGGAGAAGATCAACGAGTTCATGACCCAAGACACTGAAAAAGAACTGCAGAAGGAGGATCTCTACCGGAACTTCGGAGTCGAGAACATCCAACAGGGCCCTCCGCTGGTGCCGTCGGAATACTTTTTCGACGACGTGTACTTCAACCCCATCTTGTTCCACGCTGTCACTTTGTATCTCGGGCCTGATGCCAAATGGAACATGATTACTGGCAACAATGCGCTGCCCCATGGCACTCACCGGCAGCCTGCGCACTCGGACGCCATGTGCAACCATCCCCCGGCCCCGTTCTATGCCATCGCCAACATCTACACTGTCGACGCCAGTCCTAGCAATGGCTCGACGGAGATCTGGCTGGGGACGCATCATTTTGACAATGAATCCCAGACCCCGCCAGGACCGAAGGGAGAAACGCACATTCGTCCCGAATACCTCGAGGAGAGGCAGAAGACACTCCCAGGTATACAACCAACCGTCAAGCGGGGATCCATCCTCTTCCGCGACATGCGGTTGTGGCACGCCGGGATGCCGAACAAGTCGGACGCGATGCGCTACATGATCGCACTGGGATTTTCTGCTAGCTGGTGGCATGGCAAGGCGCGGTTCCGGGTCCCGGCGAAGACGGGGGTGTACGAGCGCATTATGCACGGCACGAAGGGATATGGGATTATTCCTCAGATCGAAGAAGTCAGCGTGGAGGAGTACGCTAGATTGAGGAATGCTCCTGATTTCAACGATGTCGAGAAGATGACGTATGAGGGGGAGATTTTCTGAGAGTTCATATGCAGTTATCTGGCATCGAAATAGTTAAAATGTGATTGATGTTAGAATTGATGAATTTTGACCGCTTCTTGCCGCCTACAAAGTGAGCCTGCTCTAAATAATCTCGGAATTTATAAATGGCTGCTCCGCTTAAGCCTGAAACGACTGTCAAAGCCTACCTAGATTCCTCGCCTACTCTATTTAAAATTAAGCTGAAATATTCTCTCCTGCTCCTACTATTTATATAATTGAACCTTTCCACCACCATTGAGGAGGCTTTCCACCACGGCCACATCGGCCAGTGCTTGACGAGGCGACGCCCGTTCATCGCCTTGACCACGCTTGATGGCCTCGAAAAATCCCAAAAACTCCTGGGCCGTCCCTTCGCCGGCGATGATCTCCTCCGAAACAACTTTTCCTTGTTCGTCTTCTACCACAAGTTTGGTTCCTCCATCTGCGCCAGTAATGGTCAGACTTCCCTTCGTCCCAATGAAATTGTAACTATATTCGCCTTTGACGGATGCCCATGACATGCTTATTGTGCCCAGCGCGCCAGACTTAAACCGCAGCGCGCCTTGCACAGTGTCGAGCGGAGGCAGATGGTCGTACGTCTGCCTTGCAAAGCTGGCTGTCTCCTCGATTTCGTCGGAGGAGACATATCGGAGCAAGGCGATGAAGTGCACGCCACCGTCGAGAAGGAACCCGCCTTGGTAGTCGGGGACCTTGCGCCATTCCGTCTCATACCACTTGTTGCCCGGCTGCATGTTGCTCCAGATCCTGGCGTGAGCAGCGACCAGCTCGCCGATGGTGCCGTCGGACACGATCTGACGGGCCTTTTCATGCGCGAGGTCGAAGCGAAACTGCTCTGCGACTGCGAGGATGAGCTTCTGACTTTGGAATTGCGATTCATATTCGGCAATGAGCGCTACAGCGTCTTTGACGTCTTTGGCGATCGGTTTCTCCATTAATACGTGCTTGCCAGCGGCCAGACACTTCAGAACGACCGCCGGCTGCACGGTAGTTGGCAGCGCAACAATGACAGAGGTCACGTCGTCTCGCTGCAGGAGCTGGTCCAGCCCTCCGTTCGAAGGAGATCCATCGTGATAGGCAGCAATATTCTCTGCACAGAGACCGTCGAACTTCCTCGCCTCTGCCAGACACTCGGACGCTGACTTGAGGGACCGGGAATAGATGGCCACCAGGGTGGCTTTGGTTTTGTGCAGAGCTGGGAGGTATGCTAGCAGTTCATCAGTTCGTCTGCACAAGAATTAGGTGGAAAATCGAGGACATTAGTCCTCGTACCTTCTTTAGGATAGATCCCCGCTCCGATCAGAGCAACCCCATTTACTGCAGACTGAGCCATCTTGAGAAACCAGAGCAGGGAAGTTGTTCAAGAGATGGAGTCACATCTTAGGGAAAGCTATTGGCATATAACGTTTCACATGAACAAGACTAGACTACTGTCGAATGGTCTCATCCGGTGATGCGGAAGAAGCTCCTCCGCCTCGCAGCTTCACTTCCGTTCCCGTGCTCGGATTTGTGCCGAAAGACTGCGACAACAGTGACGGGGATGATAACATAATTCTCGAGGGAGACCTCCTTACTAAGCTTGAGTATTTATGTCTTGATTCTCCTTTGCGTGACAAACACATCTGCCTGCTGTCTGTGTCCAATGTGGGCCACTTCCCCGCATTCCCCGTTTCTAGTGTCGATACACTACTACGTACGACAGGATGTCGAAATAATCTATGCGGCGGAAGTCCGGTTGGTAAATGCGCAGACACGGCATGACTCGCACCGTCGAGGAAGATATGCGAGGACACAGAACGGGCAAGTGTATTCTGATACCTAACTCTGATGCTAACGACCATGGTATTGCGAGATATGGACCTTCGACAAGTACGCCCAATTCTACCTGAATAATGCCATCACTTTCCTTACACGAGATGTACCAGGACATACAAACCTTGTCCGTTACGGCATTTCTGTCATGACAACATCTTGTAGTACAAAAACACATCACAATAGTGGTGGGCTGGCATCGGTCAATCGTTCAGCCTGAAGTTGCCTGCTCCGCTCGGAATTGTGCCGACTGCAAGTCCTCCACGCTGATCATGTTCATACAGTATGCTAGCGTCGGTGTCAGTCGCACAATGCTGGACAATCTTTCCAATTCGCTGGGTAATATCTCCGTCAATCAACATTCCCCAGAGATCACTCTTTGAATGATCACAGAAATAGGACAGAACCCGGACGACCAGGATCCGCAAATATGGAAGCAGCATATATAGTTCCCATGGGGATACTTCATCACTGTCCGGCCCTTGACCCAAAATTTCCGACAATTCTGGCCAGGCACGATGAAGCCAGGCATCTATCAGTTCCTAGTGGGCTGCTTCGCCGCTCTGGGATCATTCCTCTTCGGCTATGATCTGGGCGTAATCGCAGAAGTGGTCGCCTCCAGGTCGTTCAAGACACTCTTCCTGCAGTCCGATGCCGATTCTCGGTCTGGGACGGTAGTCGCTCTCTTCACTGGTGGCTGCTTTGTGGGCGCTCTCTGCGCCGGATTCACCGACCGCCTGGGGCGTCGTGGGACGATTCTGATGGCCTGCTGCATTTTCGTCTGTGGCGGCATCATCCAGACAGCAGGGGTAGTCATCGCCATGCTGTACCTTGGAAGACTGATTGCCGGTATTGGCGTTGGCTTGCTCACAGTACATCTATTCCAAGACTAGCATGCAGGACTGGTGTTACTAACGGCTCCAATAGATGATTATCCCCATTTACCAAGCTGAAATTAGCCATCGACGCATCCGTGGCAAGATTACTAGCCTGCAGCAGCTCTTCAACGCACTTGGCCAGATATTTGCAACCTGGACAGGCTACGGATGCTATATGACCTGGGACAGTTCCGGGGATAGTCGAGAATGGCGTATCCCCCTTGCCATCCAAATCATCCCAGCCATCATCTTGGGTGCTTTTGTGTACGTCTTCCCCGAGAGCCCGCGATGGCTGTGCGACCACGACGGGTGGGAAAAAGGGCTGTCGAACCTGGCGCAACTCCACTCGCACGGCAACGTCCATGATCCCTACGTCATCGCGGAATACAACCTCATCAAGACCCAGATCGCTGAAGAACACCATCAGAAGAAGAAAACCTATCTCTATCTCTTTCGCGACTGGCCCAACCTCCGCCGCACGATCCTCGTCATGATGATCCAGGCCAGCTGCCAGATGACCGGCATCAGCGCCATCCAGTACTTCTCGCCGCAGATCTTCGCCCAGATCGGGATCCCGACGGGCACGACTCTGCTGCTGTCCGCAGTCAACGCGATCATCGCGTTCCTCGGGACAACAGTCTGCATCATGATCATCGACTCGGTCGGACGCCGGCTGATGGAGATCTACGGCGGGATCATCATGAGCGTGACATTCGCAGTGAACTGCGCGCTCATCAAGATCTTCCCGACGACGTCGTCCAACACGGGCGCGCACTGGGGGTTTATCGTCATGACGTGGGTGTTCAACTTCGTCTTCTTCGTCACCAGCGGTCCGCTGTCGTGGGCGATCCCGGCAGAGCTGTTCGGCACCGCGATGCGCATTAAGGGCGTGTCCTGGGGCGCCATGACGTCGTTCGCCTTCAACACGATGATCGGCCAGGTCACGCCCATCGCAGTGACGGCGATCGGATGGCGGTACTACATCATCTTCATCGTGTGCAATCTGACCAACACGCTCTTCTTCTGGGCTTTCCTTCCGGAGACCAAGGGGCTGAATTTGGAGGACATGGACGAGTTGTTCTACCAGTCGCCGACCTTTGTCCCGGGCTCTGATTGGAAACCCAGCTCGCATATTGATGCTAATGCGCAGAAGATTGCTGGTGTCGACGCGGCGGAGAAACCGGCTGCAATTCATATTTCCGAGGGCAGGGCAGAAACTGTTCACGTTCCTTGAGCAGAGTAGGCAGAAGGGGGATCAAATAGATATCGGATTCATTTCCAACTATTTCGATGGTATATTTGATTCCAAGGCAGTTCCCTATTGCAGTGAGGATTAACTTTAGGTAGACAACCACAATCTCTAGAATCAAGATAGAGGACAAGCCTTTATCAATGAGCAGGCAGGTGACAGGTCCGCATCTTTCACATCCAGGACTACATCATAGCCGTACCATCACTGCTGTGTCTTCGAATTGCTGATTCCACTTGTAATATTCAGACTTATTCAGACTGCGAAATGCAAATAAATGTGATGATAAAGTACAAACAAGGCCGCGCTAAAAAGCATGACGCAAGCTTATCGATAAGGCTTATTTATCTGCATCGGGCTGCAGAGCCTTCTGTGGGGTTGCTCGTCCACAAGCCTGGTTTTATAGGAGCTCCACGCAAGGTTTGTCTCTTACACAGCAAAAAACAGGAAGTATACAATCGAGAAAGCAGGGAAATGTTTTAGTTTCCTGGAGTCTGGCTTTGGTCGCGTGTACAATTCATATTCTTGCTATCTTACGTGGTCTGGGAAAAATATATATCTCTTCTGAATCCTAGACATAGCAGTCTCATATATGTGTCAGGTATAGCTAATACAGGACAATATCGATGATGTTGAAGCAGTCATGATTCTGATTTGATTCGAGCTTGATGCAGTCGTTAGGAGTCAATGGCGATATTTATTTTCATTCCAGATAGAATACATTAGGCTACTACCTCATCGAAATTCATATCTAATGAAAACGTCATTAACCACATAGATACCATAAATCGTAGACCCGCGAGGACACTGTCACTCTAGGACGTAAAATAAACATCCCTCTAATCAACCTCATTTCATCCAGTCATGCAGTTTTCGTTCAAGCTCAATCTTATCCCGTCTTACCGCCGAAGCAGAGTCCATAACCTTCAGGCGCACTGTTCGCTCTCAGAGGAACAAAAACGCGCACAAGAAGACAGTCACCAAGCCTGCAAGAGCGCCAATGCTTCCCTCGCCAATAGGACCAACAATCTTGTCTCCCGCAGATAATGAGTGGGTGGGACGAGGGCTCTGTGTTGCACTTGGTGGCGGGGAGGGAGGTTTAAGAAAGGCGGACGCGTTAAAGGGCACCGGATTCGGCGGCAGATCCCATCTATTCACGGCGGAGTAATAGACATCCCCGTTCGTGTCGACGTACAAATAAGTCGACTGAAAGAAGGGCTTTCCCAAGATCATGGGCGGCGTTGAGTTGTTCGTGTCTTTGGGGCCGGAGCATCTGCCGGGCGACGAGGTCAACTCGTCCAGGATGGGAATCTTGAATGGCGTGAACCAGCCGCCCGACATGTTCTTGACGTCGTCGTTGAATTCCAACGTGATGTTCCTTCCACACCATGCTTGGGACGGCAGGACCAGCTCCTCGCTGGAGAAATCAAGGATCGCCGGGGCCTGGGCGACAATGCCTGCGTCCATGGACGTGCCGAACGGGTAACCATCGAAATTGGGAGGGGGAGACAAGTCAGGCTGGTATTCATAAAGGCGAAGGGCAACCGAACCGATCGTCTGCTTCCCCGTCGACAAGAAGGTGCCCTGCCCGTTGCTGGTTTCGGGGATGATCGCCCAGCTCATCTGCCAGTAGATGCGATTCTCATCGTAGCTGCCCCCAAAGACCAGCGAGCCATTCCACTTTCCGGCGTATCCGAGATTCAAGCCGAAAGGAACGGTCGGGAGGGTTTCATTCGTAGAAGAGTCACGATGCAAGAAGCTGAGCGACGAGTTCTGGCCCAAGACCAGCTCGGTGCTGCCAGAAGCCATCCACAGAAGCTGGTCGCCGCTTCCAGACGGGGGCACGGCGTTGGCAAAGGTCGCAACACTGGACGAGGATTCTGAACCGCTGCTCTGGCTGCCATTGCCGACGACGATGGGAACAAGAGCAGGCGATGGTTTGCCGTTCAGCGAGATATTCGCACCCCAGGGGGACGAGGAATCATTGGTCGGTCCGACCAATGGTATAACCCAGGCGGCGTCTGTGGGAGTGGCCGATGCTGAAGCCGGGACAGTATTCATCGACGTCGATGAAGTAGTCGCAGATGACAGCGTATCTTGGGCATATATGAGATGCGCCAGCCCGCAGACGGCGATGGCAAAAAAGCGTCGTGCCATCGCTGGCAGTCAAGATGCTGTCTAAGGATCACTGCAGTGTCTTGCTCGAGGGAGAAGAAAGAGTGCTTAGTGAAGCTGAGGAGTCAATTATCCATCGCAGCCCGAAGAGACACAACAAGATAGCAGTCATGTGAATCCAGTCCGTTCAGCATTGTGCTTGACAAGGCCGTGGAGACGAGGCTCCAACTCTCCGCCCCATGGAGGCGATAATCGCATCCAGACGAGGAGTGCTGCCATTGTCAGATGATAGCAAATGATCGTCTGCAGAAACACCACGTGCTGGCGGAGGCTTCAAACACTATTTATAGCGAGGGTCGAGATTAGATTGAGCCATGCGATGGGGACGTCGATCAGGGACACTTCAAGGCGTCAGGCAGCGCGAAAGGTTTTAATGTTAAATCCAGCGTTGGGATCGGTGCTTGGCAGGGCTCATTGATTGGCCAGTATTGCTTTTCCGCCGATTCCATGCAGAAAACTCTCGGTATTTGCTTCAAAAATACCAAGAATAGCTAGATTGGTGCCAACAAGAGATCGTGGGCATGGGCACCTGCCTAGGAGGGTAGTCCGCAGAGACAGTGCTAACCTGGGAGTACTACGGAATAAACTAGGAATAAACCTGATGATACAGCTATATACAAATGGAAATCATGATATGACAGTCAAGAAAAAAAAAGCAAAAAAAAAAAAGAAAGAACGGAAAAAAGAAAAGGAAACTGCGGTATGTTTCCAGAACAACAATCGCAACCTCTGTAACAATAAAAAAAAAAGAAGAGAGAAAAGAAGTAGGGTCAGGATACGCGAAACAATTGGAAATTATCAACTTTAACAGCGACACAGTGGAGCAGCCAACAACTTTATACAAAAGCCGGCTCGGCATGCGCCTTGTCGAGAGTCTCGCACATAAAAATCAAGAGCATCGGAAAAATAGGGATATTAACGGTCCGACAGTTATGAGGCTGGATTGGGGCCAATCCTGCCGCGCTAAACGCGTGTATCACAGTCTCAACATGATTTTAATTCCATGATATCGCGACGACATCCTTGTGTGGAATGTTCATCGAAGACAGGCCACTACTGTCCTTAAAGTAGAAGAGAACATTCCGGATTTTGGAAGATACCCTTATTATTGATGATTCAGTTTCTGGAGACATACGAGAATTGCTATCGTGAATGCCTGCGCACGTACCAATTCATCTGCTTTTGGCATGTCGACATACGAGTCTTGGCTTCTTCTGTTCATGACCTGCCTGATCAGCCCCTCAGGAACCGTCGATCCTTCGTCGCCCACTAGTGCAGGATGAAGTCTGTGCAGCCAACACAACGGCCGTCCAAGCACATCTTAACAAAACGTCAACGGCCAAAGTGCCTGGCACGTGTGCGTGCTTCGAGAATCTCATAGGCGTCGAATGTATTCTAGGTCGTGTTCTAGAAATGGAGCGACCGAGATGTTGCATTGTCTTGGTGAAACAGCTGCTGTCGAGATGGAGCGTTGTCTCCTCCAAGCATCAGATTGTAGGCCTATATAGCATGACACACATGTCCATGTGCATGCCTGCTTCGCCAGGCACCGTCGCTCCTTGATTGTATCAAGCCACTCCCTTGCCCTTCACCTTCATTCATTGTGGCCAGTCATGAAAGATATAATATTGCAAGGTGCCCTCTTGACGGCCCTTGTCGGGCTGGTGGCAGCTGTCCCGACAACGCCCACGGCGAGATGGTCCAACTCGACCTCGTCGTCCACCAGCAGCAGTCACGCCAGCCCAGCGCCGTCAACGCCAACGGCAATCGCCGTTTCAGTCCCAAAGACAGCGAGCTCGAAACCGACCGGGTCCAGCAGTGTCCCTCACTCTGTGATCACGCCAGGCGTGTCGGCTGCATTGCACAAGCTCGAAGAGCAGCCTGGGTCGTCCAGCGGCGCCGTTCTCTTTTCCTCCTCGGGCGCGTGGTTGACGGTACCGTGTAATGCGCCAGGAATGACTGATATTCGATTCGGACCGGCAGAACGATGGAAGACCGCCGATGCTCAAGGTGCGCCGTTCCTCCCTCGTTTGACTGATGTCTCGTGCTAAATCAAAAATGCGCTGCAGAGGCGTGGGACCAGGCCATGGCTGGCTTTGTCAAGGATCTCGATACCCCTGGGAACCAGAATCAGACCTTCGACACCTGGGCGTTCAATGCGTTCCACTCTCGCGACTACCCCATGTGTTGGAGCTACATGAGCAGCAACTGCGGCACAGTGACGTGCGACGAAGCAGGAGGGTTGGCCGCGGGCTTTCTGATCCTGAACTCTCTGGCTGGGCTGCATAATGTACGTAGTGTACCAAGCTTTCCTCCCTCAGTGGTGGTGGTGAAGCCAGGCTGACGATGAGAACGACCAGGCCGTGAACATCGCATATCAAAGCTTGATGCTGGCCCAAGATATCGTGACGGACAGCATGGCCAGCTTCGTGAGCACGTTTACCAGTCTCCCCGACCAGACAAACTCGGAGGCCGTCAAATGGATCCTGGACTCGTTATCCTTTGTGGTTGGCATTGGATCGGCGTTTTCGTGGAACGTCTGTAAGTATCAAGCCCTCCACGAGTCTCCGATGGAAGGTCAGCGCCGCTGACCGGTCCGTTGCAGTTATCAAAGAGGCCAAGATCTTTTCTGGTAATGTTGCCTGGAGATATGGACATGACTCGAGTCGATCCTGACTGCGTTGCAGATGACAACTACCGGGGAGCATGGAAGGATATTTTCAACGGCGCCATAGCCTATGGGATCAACTTCGGCAAAGACAGCCTGAGGTAAATTTGGCCCGATGCGATTTGGAGACGTCAGCAGCTGATAGATCAATGCAGTGCGCCCTCAGACCCGAAAGCCACCCTTTCAGAGGCCTTGACCTCGATCCAGGGCGAGTTTTTGAAGGCCACCGTTGACAACCTCTCTGGATTCCTCGAGAACACCATGGCGGCCGCAGACCAGCAGACTCGAGACTACCTGACAACCATGGTCCAGAACGGCGATGCGTACCAGTTCCTGAATATGTCGTACCTTGGGAACGGCACTGGGAAGGCCCTGCGAGACGCCACCGTCCAGCTCATGTGGGGGAGGCTGATCTCGGTGGCGTGGCAGATATCGCCGAAGAAGATGAACCCGTTCATCCTGTAAGGCAGACCGATACACATTCTCCAGGCGTGGCTGACGCTCTCCAGGCGTGTCGATCACCGGGACTATAAATGCGGTTCGCCGGTCGAGCACACTGCAGGAGGGTTCCCTCTTGGGGACTATATCCTTCCCAGCACCGCGGCGAAGACGCAGTGGTGTGATCCACAGTAAGTCCTCTCTTTCTCCCCCTGATGTCCTGTTGATGCTGAGCGTGACCGTTAGGGGCAACACCTGGTTCCTCCTCAACGCCAACTATGACTGCGACCACGGCCGCAACACGCCCAACGGGTGCCTTGGGCAGGGCCAGTCGCCGATTCTCTTCCAGGAGCTGGCTGGCGGCACTACGGACACTCTTGATGGGAAGCAATGGGGTGGCATTACCTTGGAGTACGATCGTTCTTGAAAACCTCCACCGTCGCAGCAGAGGCTGACGTCTTGGGCAGGGATATCATCACCAGCAGCTACGCCGGATTCCTTGCCAACGGAGGCAAAAACGGCTATGTGAGTCTCGTGTCCTCGACGGATAGATCAACGGTGCTGACTGTTTGCGTTGCAGGGCCTGGCCGACAACACCTCGCTCGTCATCAACAAGGACTGGTCGGGCGTCGTCGACGGCGGACTGCCATTCATCGGCGGCATTCGCACGCCAGGATTCTTCAACTACACCATCTGTCTGAATCTGACTGAAGCGGTGGAGAACATCGACAAGAAGGTATGGCCGCCCTGCGGCACCGTGCCCAACTCGGACGGCGTCAGTCCGTCGGTCAATCAGCAGGGATACGCCCCGGGCTGGTGTGGCATCCACATTTCGCAGTATCAGAAGAACGACCTGGCCGCCAACCCGCTGCCCGAGTATCAGGCGGCCATCAGCATCTTTGACGGCGCTGGCAATGCGCTCGCCTATGCCACCAAGCAGCCCATCGACCCGGCAATCATCATCAAGAGCAAGCTGCCGTACGACCTGATCGTTGCCGACAGCAGCAAGGGCGACGACCTGTGCTTCTGGTATGGCGATCAGTACTGGTGCACCGACGACACGAACGTCCACCACTGCGTGATGGGAGGCTGGGATGGTGCGACCAAGGCGCGCCAGGGCAACTGCGGTTTCTCGTGCCCCAATCCCACGAGCAACCCGCCCAAGTCGGCGACGGAGCAGGTCCCCAAGGGCGCCGTGACTGCGTACATGGGCACGGGCACGGCGACAGCGACGGCCGTGCCGCCGGTCAAGACGTATGCCAAAGGATCGTGCGGACTGCACGTCCGGCAGTACCAGAAGAACGAGTTCGCCAACTCGCTCAACCCGAGCCCGGACTACGCGCTGGAGATGGCGCTGTACGACGGCAAGATGACGCTGATCGCGTACATGGAGAAGACGTACGCGCCGCAGGGCCAGTGGCTGAGCGTGCAGGGCCCGCTGCAGTGGCAGGTGCAGGCGTCAACGGGGGCCGTGGACAGCGATCCGGTGTACATGCGGTATGGTGCTCAATCCTGGAACTCGAACAGCAAGCAGTGCAGTGGCGATTGGTTCAACAATGGATACCGCGATATAGCGTGCCGGTTCGACTGCTAGAGTCGTCTGTGAGGATGTGATATGGATTGTTTTCGGCGGTTATGGTCGATTTTGGTATATATATGTACCGAATATAGATAATATGAGGCAGGGATTCTGGATACGGGATCAAGATAGATGGTAATGGATGAATGGATGGTAATAGAAATAAGGGTGAGCTTGTCAAATGTGAAACCTGTATATATACTTGGTCGCAAGACGTAATGAACGGTTGTCAGTGATGCAAATATAATATAGTAAACAGGTCTATATCCGACGTACGAATTAGTAAAAATCAAGGAATATATTTGAAAGGGGAAAAAGCAGCGCACGAAAAGAAACCCAGTGCCAAACACATATCTCCTATCCGAACTCCAAGTCCTAGTCAGACAGTACTATATCTCACCAGGTAACTCAATTGCCAAGCATCATTCCAGACCGTGACATCTGCGACGCTTGACTTTCATACACGTGGATCTCGAGCCTGACTTCTGTTCTTTTTTTTTAAATTGGGCAGTTTCTATATGCATTCTGTCCCAGAAATGCTTCTGCTGATATATGTTGGCTGTGGTGACACCTGTTCATTACACACCGCTCTTGTGTCTTGATTCTCTCCAAGTCAACCAATTTTAGCCAATTTTTGATCTTCCAGGACTTCGCGGTTGACGACTGGTATGAACTCCTCGGGCTTAGGGTTAAACTCTATTGATAGATGCATAGAGGCTAGATTGGAGGATTCGTGAACCCCTAAGATATCGTTGTCTAGAGGATAGGCTAGCCTAGCTACCTTCATTGAGGAAGTATATAATTTCTCGATATCAACCCTTCTGACTACTATCTGACAGCCTGTCAACTACGTCCTACTTCTTCAATACGTTCGTCCGCAACAGCCTTGGCAGGATCGTATTCGAAGCCACTGCGCTGTGCCAACCGGTCCTCAATATCAAAAAGACGGGACATTTCCTCCAGAGTGCGACCGCGAGTTTCAACTAGACGCAGCGTCAGTAACGTCTTGAATAGGCAAAGCCATGTCTTAGGATGGGACATACCCAACGCGTATCGGACGAAGATGAGTGCAAAAACGCAATCCCTGAGTAAATGATATACAGCCCCCATCCCACCGCATCCGCAATGGGCGGACTCGCCTGCGCGACGATGTAGCAGGCTGTCCACAGCGACGCCGTCGTGAGAGCATTCCCCTTGGCGCGCATCGACACGGGGAATATCTCTGCCGCGTACGTCCAGGACCCCACGCCCCAGCTGATGTTAAAGAAAACGTAGAACAGGTACGGGAACATGATGATGGTGTAGTTCGCCTTGTCGCCCGGGTGGTGCTCCGCGTGCCACTGCAGCACGGTGATGCCGATCATGGAGCACATCATGCCGATGGTGCCGAGCTGCAGCCACGTCTTGCGGCCGAGCCGGTCGAAGAAGAAGATGGGGATCCAGGCGAAGGCGAAGAGGACGATGCCGACTCCGCCGGTCGCAAGATTTGCAGTGCGAGGGTTGGTGATGCCGCCTCGTTCGAAGAGCGATGGCTGCAGAATTAGTACGAATCAAACCCCTGAAACTAAAATGCTGTGCTTACAGTATAGTAGAGAATCGAGTTGGTGCCCGTGATCTGCTGGAAGAACTGGATGCCCATTCCCAGCATGGTCACCCGCAGCACGGGCATAGTGAACATGTCCCTCCAGCTGGCCTTGGTGACATGTTTCTCGAAATCGATCGAGCTCTGGATCTCCTGCATCTCCAGTTCCGCCGCCTCGCTGCCGTGCAGTCTCGTCAGGACTTCACGCGCGCACTCATGGCGGTCCTGCGCCACGAGCCACCGCGGACTGGGCGGCACCCAAAACCAGCATCCGACGGCGAGCAGGATGGCCGGCGGGATCTGGATTGCCAGCGGAATCCGCCACCAGTCGTCGATCTCGAGGTAGTTGAACCCGTAGTTGATCCAGAACGCGACCAGCTCGCCGAAGCAGAGAATCATCTGCTCGATGGCCACGACGCGACCGCGGATCGACGGTGGAGACAGCTCGGCGACGTACAGCGGCACACCCCCGGCGCATGCGCCCACGCCGTATCCGAGCACCACTCGACCGATTGTCTGGACTGTCAGCATGTCTGGCTTTCTTTTCCAACAAAGTCCTTGGACGGAGGATGACTTACGATCTGCGTGACCGAATACGACGCCGCTTGGAGGACGGCGCCAACGATAAACACAACACAGGCGATGGCAAGCGTCCGCTCACGACCGATGGGATCCGCCAGATAGCCCAGGGACATGGCGCCGATGAAGCAACCGACGTCGTACAGCGAGACGACGGTTCCCGTGACCCCTAGTAGCGTAAGCATATATCTCTTGAAGGACTTCGCATTGTAGGAAGGACGAACAAGAATTCTTCGGCTGCATCAGGTCGATCCAGCGCTTATCAGCCACGATCACGCCCATGACGCCCTGGTCATAGCCAAACAGGAACGCGCCGAGCGAGACGAACGCCGTGACAGCGTAGAGGTAGGCCGCACTGCCAGCACGAGGCTGCAACGGGTCGACGCCCGGAGGCGGCCTAATGGGCTTGGACTGTTTGAGGGAGACCATGCTGGGTAGACATCAACGAGAGATAAAGTACAAGAGCGAGACGCGGTCGCAGCGGAGCTCTGTAGAGGATGCTTCGCAGGTTATATATACATCGCTCCATGATTAGGCACCTTATCACGTCGCACAGACGGCGTTGCTCCGGACGGAGAAGTCAGCGGGGGATTTCCATGATGAGTCTGGGGTAGCGAGCAACAAGCGGGGAAAGTATGGAGTAAGTCTGGAGTAAAAAAAAGCGGGTCTGATGGATCGAGAAGGGATCATCGTGATGGATCATCCGATTCCGGGGTAGAGCTTAAAGACTCGATATTGCATTTTTTTTTATGAAGTACTTGCACATTCGCCCTGTTTGGATACTGTAAACACATAAAGACGCCGGTATAGAATCACAATTCTGTCAAGTACTCTCCTGCAGCATAGATGTCGTCCCTCAGAACAACACAGACGGTGAGATTGTCCGACGACGATTTGGAGATTGGAGATTCAGTCGCTCAGCCAATCAGCATCCAGTATTACATTTGCAGCGGGAATGATTGCCGGATTGGGCGGATCCTCGGGGTGCTTTCCTTCCGCGCGCCCAAACAGGCAATTCGGGCCCGGGCCCGAGTCTCCGCGCGGGGAAGCCCAGCGGGGATAGTTGCCCCGTCGAGAAGAGCATTGCAATCCCAACTGCCAGCTGTTCGTGAAGCTTCCAGCCGGTCGACGCGATGCAAGAGTCTGCATGTGATAGGATGGGGACCGCTGTTCTGTCTCCAGCCTGCGAAAAGAGAAAGCGACACCGGTGTTGCGTTGGGCGTGTCGTCAGATATATATATATCCAGCACCTGCGACCATGTTACAACGCAGAGAAACCAGTTGTGAGAATAGTTCAGATCAGCCACCATGGGAATCCCGCTCGAGGTGTACGACCGTCTGGCCGTCAACGACGGTCCGTTGACCCCTGAAAATGTGAAGCTCCTGCGGCAGTCTGACCCCAGTCTGCCGATGGAGGAGCTCCGCAAGCGCTACGAGGAGGATGGCTACTTGTTTCTCAAGGGCCTCCTCCCGCGGGAGGACGTGCTCAAGGCCCGGGAGCGGTATTTCGAAATGATGGCTCCAACGGGCGTCCTGAAGGAGGGCACGAAGCCGGTCGAGGGTATCTTTAACGACAAGAGATCGCCCGACGACTTCCCGGGCATCGGCTCCGGCGCAGCGGGGATGAACGGGCGTCCTGGCGGTGAAAGCGCAGCGCAGTTCGTGGACCTGGCCATCGAGGCGCACTACAAGGACTGGTACGCGGAGGAGTTTTGCAGGCACCCGGCTTTGCACGACTTTGTTGCCAGGTTCACGGGCTGGGGAGAGAAGACGCTGGGACTGCGCCGATCTCTGCTCCGCAATAATGTCACCGGGACCAAGCCCATCGGGGTGCACTACGACCAGATCTTCCTGCGGCATGGCGAGCCGACCAGTGTGACGGCGTGGGTGCCCATTGGCGACATTAAGATCACCGGAGGAGGCTTGATATACCTGGAGAATGGTATGACTCTTTTCCTGAACGACCTGTCCATTCCTCTAACCACAGTCGTAGGCGATCCCGTGGGCGTCCAGATCGAAGAGGAGTTCACGCGCAAAGCGAAGGTGGCCGGCTTTACGGAGGAGGAGGCGAAGAGCGCGTTCAACAGCAACATGATGGCGACGGGCCTGCTGTCGGAGAAGCCGGCCGAGTTTGCGCGAGAGCACAACCGGTGCTGGCTGGTGGCCGAGTATGAAGCTGGCGATGTGGTCCTGCACAAGCCGCATATGGTAGGACTGTTTTTCCTTTTCATTTTTTCTTTATCTATCCTACCTGTTCGTGGACGCTGACACTTGCTAGATCCATGCCTCAACCATAAACAAGGACCCCGACAATGTCATCCGCCTGGCAACGGACCTGCGCTTCGTCGATTCGTCGAGGCCGTACGATAAGGTATGTTTTACTTCCACATATTGATGATATGATGCTGACGAGATGGCAGAGGTGGAACAGATACTACGAGGTGGGAGATGGTGTGTAGATGGATAGAATCGATGTTATCATAGGCAGTTAGCTCTATAGCCCTTGAATTTTATGAATGTCTCTCTCTCGTACCAAGATTTTATTTTATTTTTTCCCTTAATTTATACTTCAATATAAGAAGGATTCTGTAGAAGACTGTAGAAAGGTGAAGCGAAATTGTACCCTGATTCTCACGTAGGACCTCAGGGATAGTACTATCAGCATTTCAAACCATGAATCACTTGCCAGAAGGTCTGAGCTAAGCATATAGAATGCCAGATTCAGCTGCGGGGTGTGGAGTGATCTCTCCGCGGAACTCCGCACTTCGGCAGCTAAGCCGAGAATCCTCCAAGACAACTTCGACTCGCTCCAACGCGTGCTGGCAGAGCTCTTTCGACGTGTATCAGCAATAATGGCGACATCTGGGTCGAGAATTCGATGCTGGTTAGTTAGGACCTGTAGCATGCGCCTGGATCTACCTGCACGAAGCTGACAACCTGCTCAGCGATCCGTGCCGTCTCCTCCACTACAAATGTAAGCACCGCCCCGCCGCAGCGTTTTTGATACTGACAGTCATCGCCAGGCGACGGACGACTCCCGCAATGCAGCAGATGTGCGCGCACCGGCCGTGCATGCGTCCGAGTACGCAAGGTGCAGTTCCGGCTGATGAGCGGACCGTCGCGACGCACGCGATTCCCCCGAAACCAGGTGTGGCTTCGATTGCCGCAGCGAGGTAGACAGTCATTCCATGGATTAAACCTGCTGAGACGACATGAGTAACTGTTGATTTAGTGGACTTCGTGCTCGAGCCGGGGAGTAATGGACAATCCCCGCTGGACGGCGCTGCGGCGAATGGGTCTCAACGGTGGGAGAGTACGACGTCCCCTGAGTCAGACCCTGTCGCAAGCAGACACGTTTCGAATCATCTCGCTGGAGTACGAACAGATAATAGCGAGCAATCAAGGATCCCGTCACAAGGCCTTGCGAACCCCTCGCAGGTTGGCGAACCGCCACCAGCACAGACATTACCTGCCGATAATGTCCCTTTACAATTGACTCGCTCAGTGGGATATCAAATAGATGGCCGCAGACGTTCGAAAACGCGGACTTGGCCGCTGAGGGATCCGCAGGAGGCGCGTCTTCTGCAGCATTTTGTGGATAAAGTCTCTCCTTTCGTAAGTGCAGACCCAAACACAAGAGAAAGGAAGTTTCCTTAGTGGATGACGACAGTTCGACTGCTCTGATCGCGAGAGGCATTTTGCCATTCATGTCCCCCACCGTGCCAGATACTGCGAGACGCTGTTCAACGCCATTCTGGCCATGTCTGCACGGCATTTGAGTCGCACGACCTCATTCGATCCGTTTGTTTCGGATCATTACTACCACGAATGTCTCGAGACGCTCATCCCTGCACTCGACGACCAAGAGGTTGCCACGGATGACGATCTTCTCGCTGCGACGGTCATCTTGCGCCTGTTGGAAGAGTTTGACGGTAAGTAATAGGCCGTTTATTCTAGTCTACATGCTGATTATACGCAGTTCCAATCGCAGGATCCGATCTTCGGGGCCACTCCTTTGGGACGAAAGCATTCATCCAAGCCCAGCGAGCAGATATAATCACTCCCAGCCTCCGCCAAGCGACGTACTGGAGCGGCCTGCGTCAGGAGATCTACAGCTCCCTCAGCCTGCAACGCCCGCCCGACATCGAGCTCAGCGCGCACAAATCGGACATCAACCTGCTGGCCAACGACGCCGATGACTGCGTGTGGGCGAACCAGGCCATCGCGCACTGCGCGGACGTGCTGCTGTTCTGCTACGGAGAAGCGCGACGCTCGGCGACGGTGCATGCGGAGCTGCTGAGGGAGAATCGGCGGTGGAGGGAGAGCAGACCGCCGTCGTTCGACCCGTACTTTGTGGATGATGGGGACGCGGTGTCTCGGACGGGGTTTCCGGATATCAAGATGCATGCTGATTGGCATGGTCAGTCCTGTCATCTCATTATCAGACTCTAGGATTCTCTTGCTCATTGATCCTGCAGCGATAGGGAATCAGTACAACAGCCTAGCGCGGATCTTGCTCCTTGTGCATGATCCTACGATTCCGACGGTTGGACCACTTCGGAGGACGGCCATGGAAAGAGTGGATGTAAGTGACTGTCCTTATCAGAATTGTCATTCCACTGCTAACAAGAAGATTTATTCCAGGAGGAAATTAAGGCAGAGGTATGGACGATGTGTGGTGTCGGCATGTCCAACGCGTCTGCACCGCCTGCGATCATCACGGCTTGCATGGCCATCAATCCATGTAAGTACGATGGACTGTGTATACAACAAGCATGGTCTAATGCGCTACAGGCGGCGATCGATTCACCGACAAGCAGCAGCAGAATCGACTGATGGAGGTCCTGGTCCGGACAGACGCGTTGCATGGCTGGCCGACGCGTGCGATACAGGAGCAGCTGCGCGAGACGTGGGGATGGAATTGACGAGAAAGCAGTATTTCTCATCGGTTTTGACATGTTATCGAATGGATATTACGAATTGCATACTGCAGACGACTGTCTAGCACATGTCTTTATTGGTCTATTCGATGTGCATACATCAAGTCTATGTCTGAGTCTGGATCTCCTACTTTGGAACATACTCCTTGGTGATCTCAACTACGGTCCCTTTCTCCAGTAGTTTCTCCAGCTGATCTACCGCTGGAACCGTCGGAGGACTGGACGAGGCTGTCCTTACTGCAGATGCAGGCCCAGCCAGAACAGCGCAGGCAAACACAGTAGGGGTATTCGCCTGCACATCGCCTAACAACTGCGGCACGAACGTCCGAGGGAACATGACGTTGGTATTTCCATGTGGAGCAATGACTCTGGCAGACCGTCTTGGGGTCGACGCATCGACGATGCCGCTGAAATCGCCCAGCGTGCTGATGACCTGTGCGGACGCACTCTCGGTAGAAATCTCGTCTCTGGCAAAGTCTGTCCGAGGTGCAGCAAACCCGCCCTCGATCGTGGACAGCCTTCTCGCGGAGAGGATGCGATGCACGCGGATATGCCACAGCCCGCTGGGAACGAGCCACGTCTCGATTTGCACGTCGTCCCACGGACGCCATCGCGAGAACAGGACGTCACCAGCCAAGATCGCCGTATCGCAGTGTTCTCGGACTCTGTAGTGTCTGCCATCGTCGCTCAGCGCAATCATGCTGTCGAACGCGCCTATACTGAATCCCAGCGCGTCACTTTCAACGCTGAAGCCGTAGCGCGACGAGTATGCGAACTTGTTGTACTTCTCCGGAATTCCGCGCATCAGCTGCGGAGTTCCGGGCCCGGATACCAGCATGACGGTATGATCAGGCTGGTGCATGAAGACCATCCCCACGATGGGGTCCGTGTAGACAGCATCTCTCTCCGGCATCGGCAGCTCCTCGGCCGTCCAGAACGGGTGGTCTGCCGGGAGAGACAACGGCGCGAAGGCCTTCATCGCCCACCACGGCGACCCCGTCGAGCTGTACCGCTCCGTGAGGAGCTGGTTCGGATACGCATATCCCAGCGTTAACAGCCCGTCGTCCAGCCTGGATATCGGCTGCGAGGCCCACCACCGCAGGTTCCGCAGATACAGCCCCTTCATGACACCCCACGGCAGGGCCTCCTCGTTCGCCACCGCCAACGCGCCCCAGAATGCGGCGACTGCGTGGCGGTAGATGAGGCTGCGTCCGTACGGCACGTTGGCACCGGAGTCGGCAAACCAATGCAGGAAGTGCCGCGCAAACAGACGCGCCCGTTCGCGGAACCTGTCACCGCGGGCTTTGTCTCTCGGTCGATGGACGGCGTATATGAGGCCGTAATAATGCATCGCGAACGGATTGTAGTAGTCGATCCGTCGCGTGTCGCCCTTGTCGCCGCCGTCACGGTACCATCCGTCGCCGATGTACAGGCTCTCGAGATCGCGGAGGTATTCCTCCGTCATGCTCTCGTCGACGGGTACGCCGACTCTCTCGAGACCGAGATCGACGATGATGCGGAAGAACTTGTGGTTGTTGTTGGCATGGCGCGTGTTGCGGCTCTGCAGCAGCCACGCAGCGACGTTCATTTTCGCCGTCTCGTCCAACGGCTCCCAGATGTGCTCTGGCACGAACAGCAGGGCGTACCCGAGCGCCGTCGCCTCGACGTGTCGCTGGTCCATGTCCAGCACCTCACCCCAGTACTCGGGATGGGCAGGATCGGTGCCATTCTTCAGCCCCGTGCGATACAGCTCCCAATGGTCGAATTGCGAGCCGCCCGCCGCCAGAGGCGCGAGGCCGAACAGTGGCCTTGCGAAGCCCTCCAGGTCGCAGGCCGCGCGGTCCCAGGTCGAGCCCGACGCATCGAGCTGGACGCGGGCTTTCCCCGGCGAGAAGGCGGGGAGCAGCGGATTGAAGAGGCTGTGGACAGCGACGATGACGTCGTCGCGTGTCCGGAGGGGGTTGCCCGCGAGGGGATTCAGTTTGGAGGGGGGGATCTTGCTGGAGTCGATCATGGTGATATAATATCAAGTCTGTCTGTTCTCATGGAATGAGAATGAGAGAGTATATACTATTATTGACAGACATGACAGAAATGCAATCCATGAGCTTCCAGTGTTGCTTCGCGCGGCCTTCTCTCCGCCATCGTTCAGCAGTCTAGACAGGCATCGATCCGGCTCGTTCATCCGAAGCGACTGTAACCCGGAATTAGGTGACGGCGGGCCACTGCAGCGGGCAGCGGAGGAATGCTCGGCCGGCGGATGTCCGCTGCGATAAGCATGTCTTGGCGCCGCAGCAAGCACGCGATTGGAGCGGCGTCTAAGCCAAGCAGGTCGGGCCATGCCACGCTCCCCATGGGGTAAATCGCGGGGAAGCACCCGGACCAGGAGATAGGCCATTGAGCTATTTTATACTGGCCTGTGCCCGTGCAATCAAAGACTTTTTTTTCAAGATGTGAACGACAGAAACTATCAGACAATCAGACATCCATCACCAGTTACCAATGCGTCCGCAACAACCGTCCGCTGCCGGCGTGGGCGGCGTCGTCCTCCGCGACATCCTCCCCAAGCGCGACAAGATGTGGTGGCAATACAAGTCGCTGCTGACGCTCAACCTACTGCTGCTCGGCTGCATCGCGTCGGACGTGACCAACGGCTACGACGGGTCGATGCTCAACGGGCTGCAGATCATCCCACAGTGGCAGGACTACTTCGGGCACCCCAAGGGCTCGCGGCTGGGGCTGATCACCAACGGCACGCGCATTGGGCAGGCGGCGGCGCTGTTCGTCGTCAACCCGCTGATCCAGCGGTTCGGTCGCAAGAAGCCCATCGCCATCGGGTCGGCCATCATGCTCGTCGGCATCGCGCTGCAGACGGCCGCGACCAATGTGGCCATGTTCGTCATAGGCCGTGTGCTGATCGGCTTCGGCAACAACATACAGCAGTCTGCCTGTCCGATCCTGATCTCGGAGCTGGCCTATCCGTCGCAGCGGCCGCAGATCACTGGCATTCTGAACGCGACGGGGTCGCTGGGCCAGATCCTGGCGGCGTGGATCACGTACGGCACGGCGTTCATGGCGTCGTCGTGGAGCTGGCGCCTGCCCAGTCTGCTGCAGGCCGTCACGTCCATCTTCCAGATCATCATGACGTTCGTCATGCCCGAGTCGCCGCGGTGGCTGGTGTTCAACAACCGGCGGGAGGAGGCGAAGCGGATCCTGGCGAAATACCACGCAGACGGGGACGAGAACTCGCCGCTGTTGCAGTTCGAGCTGGCGGAGATCGACTACGCGCTGGAGCAGGAGAAGAGCGAGTCGCGGGCGTCGTGGCTGGAGTGGTTCCGCACGCCGGCGAATCGCTACCGGTTCTTCGTCATCCTGAGTCTGGGGTTCATGATCCAGTGGTGCGGCAACGCGCTGGTGTCGTACTACCTGCATCTGGTGCTGGACTCGATCGGCGTGACGGGGACCAAGACGCAGCTGCTGATCAACGGGGGGTACACGATCGAGGGGCTCGTGTTCGGCATCTTCTTCTCGCTGATGATCGACCGGCTGGGGCGCCGGATGATGTTCCTGGGCGGCATGGCAGGCATGTTCGTGGCGTATCTGCTGCTGACGGTGTGCACGGGTATCAACCAGAGCCACAACTTCTCGAATCCGGGGCTCAGCGGCGCGACAGTCGCCATGATCTTCCTCTTCGGCGCGTTCTACAAGATGGCGTCGCCGACGCAGGAGCCGTACTACATGGAGATCAGCCCGTACGGACTGCGGGCGAAGACGCAGGTGCTGAAGCAGTTCGGTGACACAGGGGCGAACCTGTTCAGCGGGTTCGTCAACGCGATCGCGCTGGACGCGATCCAGTGGCGGTACTACATTGTGTGGTGCTGCGTGCTGGCGAGCAACTTCACGGTCATCTACTTCTTCTTCCCGGAGACCAAGGGCCTGTCGCTGGAGGAGGTGACGCAGATGCTGGACGGGAAGACGCATACGAAAGATGCGCCGGAGGATACGGAAGGTGGCAATAGCAAGGCTGCTGTGGAGGTGGTGGAGGATGTGAGTCGGGCTGCGTGATGCAACTGTATGTAGGTTGCAAATATGTTATTGAGATTCTCCTGTTTATATGTGCGGATATGAATATAGTCGAAATGTATTGTACACAGCATTTTGCGCCGAATAGATGCCTTAGTAATAACAGTGGTTATTCCACTTTGATTATTTTCATATTAGCTGATGTATCAGATGTCATTGCATGACACAACGTATTAATCAATTTAAATTTTAAAAAAGAAGAAAAGCTCATAAAAAGGCCCATCTTAGAAAACAGAATAATAAGGAATAGAGTAAATAGAGAAGTCTCCTGATACCTTGATTAAGAATAGAGATAATTACAACAACAGTGTGATGATATAATTTCAAACCCCCGTATCACATAAGTTGCTCCAAAGGCCAGACAGCGCCATGAGAAAGTACGTGTTAATCGACCAATGCTTATCAGCAATAATCTGCTTTTAGCAGCTATTCCTCGTAATCCCCGAATACTGCTACGGACGTCGGGCGAATGCTCGGCCGGCCATCAGCCCGGGCATTGCATTCCCTCCGGGGTAATCTCCGCTGTCCCCGCGGTCCACTCTACAGCTGCCAAGCATCTTTACAGATGGTATACTCAGATAATTACATTAATTGCATATTCAAGTCAGGTTATTTTGATTGAGTCTGTCTAGATAGATATTCTGCATGTGCAGCTCAGTGCCTTGATATAGACTACACGATTGATCTACTCTAGCACGCAGTCGGACAAGATGGGTTCCATTGGGGAAACAGCTAATTCTCTGTCTAATGGCGCTGGCAATGGCAGTCTCTCTCCCGCAGCGGAAAGGGAAAATGGCATCGCTAAGCCAGGGCCCCGGATAGATGTTCAGCTGCGAGAATTATACGCCGAAAGTCATGCTGCCAAGGTTTGGAGAGTGGCCACGGAGATGCTGAAAGAGGATGTAAGATCACTGATCTATGCTTCTTCTTTATTTTTATTGTTATTGCGATGCTGAATTGCTACAGCCCAGTCTCTCTCGCTTCCCCGAATACGTCCCGTCAACCGGCGACACCGCAGGGCGATATGCAACAAGGGAAGCCAAATTCTGGACCTGCGGCTTCTTCCCCGGGAGCCTCTACACCCTGCTAGAGCGCTGCGTGCGATTTCCCAAATCCCTCCCCTCGCCCGGAATCGCCGACAGAAGAGCGCTGCATGACCAACTGCTGCAGCTCTGCCGGAGCTGGTCGGCGCCTCTGCACGCCATGGCCACTCGACGAGACACGCACGACCTGGGCTTTATCATCATGCCTGCGTTACGGCTGGACTGGGAGCTGACGGGGAACCGGCAGAGTTGGGAATCCATCCTCACGGCGGCAGAGAGTCTGGCGTCGAGGTTCGACGAGCGTGTCGGCGCGATCCGCAGCTGGGATCAGTCGTTCAGCAAGAGATACAGTATCACAGACAAGGAGGAGAACTTTCTCGTTATCATTGATAGCATGTGCAGTGAGTCATACCTCCCATTTACACAGGACGTAACTCGCTGGCTGACGGATGGCAAGACCTGGATTTGCTGTTCTACGCCGGCCATCACAGTGCCAACCAGCGGTTCATCGATATCGCAACGAAGCATGCACACACCGTCCTCCGGTCGATCGTCAGGAAGGACTGGTCGACCTTCCATGTCTGCAATTTTGACCCGAAGACAGGAGCGATCCAGTCGCAGTATACGCATCAGGGGTACAAGGACGACTCGACGTGGAGTAGGTACGTGCTACCAACACCCATGACATCGATAAGTGTCCTGTTTCTCTAGCGTCCGCTAATTCTCTGCGATGGCAATGCAGAGGCCAAGCCTGGGCCATCCTCGGCTTCACGCAGACCTACCACTGGACCAAGGACCCTGTGTTCCTGCAAGCAGCGACCTCGCTGGCAGACCACTTCCTAGCGCGTCTGGCAAAGGCATCGCATTCGCATCCGTACGTCCCGGCGTGGGATTTCGATGACCAGACCAGCACTCCCCCTTTGCGTGATACTTCCGCGGGGATGATAGCCGCGAATGGGCTGGTGCTGCTGCATCAGGCGCTGGCACAGAACAACACTCCTTCAACGTACCTCGACGCAGCAGTGCGGATCGCCAGGGAGACGATCGACCTCTCGCTGGCCTCTGACACGGCGAATTTGGCTGTCGAAGCAACCAACGGCACGATCCACGTCGTTGCGGACGAGGGCGAGGGCGAGAGCAGGTGGGATTCTATCCTGAAGAACGCGACGGCGAACAATAATGAGTTTGCGATCATGCGGTATGGCGATGTCGGGCTGGTGTATGCGGATTACTACTTTTTGGAGTTGGGGAATAAGTTGTTGCGGATGGGGTTGGCGTGATTTTTTTTTACCGAAGATAGATATTTCTAAAATAAGAGGAAACTGTCTTGATTGAGGGGAATATGTCTAAAGTAGGGAGGGGATGGAACAGGGTATAGTATAGAACAGACATATGGTATAGAAACGGATTCGTCGCAGATTAATACTGATCAATTAGCTACATTACAACTCCTTGAGCCCATAATACATGCTAGAACTCGTACAACAAGATGCAGAACCTAGGAAGGCCAACCATACCCATAACTCATGCTCATATCGAACGCAAAATCCGTCCCGTCGAGCGTGATCACGCGGTCCAGTTCCGAAAACTGCTGCCCCAGCAGCGCGTTGGACATCATGGTCAGTTCGTCTTCTGTCGCGTCGCCACGGTCGACGTTTTGTCGCTCGTTGTTGTTTTCTATGCCCGTCTGATGCTCACGCAGCGGGACGTGGGCGGGTATGTTCTGGTTGTTGCTCGCTGGAGAGGACAGATGAGAAGGAATTCCCGCCGGGGCAGGTCGAGGTGTTGGATGGCCGATTGACGCATTCGCGTTGCTGGGAGAGATGTGGTTGTAGAAGGGTCCTTCAGGATGAGAATTGTAAGGACTGGCGGCATTCTGCGCCGGAAATGTCTGTCCGAAACCCCTCGAAGAGGCAGGACTGCCATCGACTCTCTGGGCCGGATACCCCTCGACTGCTGGTGAATGACCTTCGTCGTGGCCTGTGTGTCTCGAGGATGACTCCACTACTCCCCGGACAGAAAAAGAACGATCCCTGCAAGCCTTGGCATCGAGATCAGAAGTGATATCGTACTGGAATAGCAGCTCCGGCCGCAAGTCAGGTTCATTGAGGCATTTCGTGTGCAGAGCCTGAAGCAGCGAGGCATATCTCGCGGCAAGATCTGCACGATCGGTCTGCTCCGGTAGATGACCCTTCCATCGACGAGACATGTCCTGCAGACTCTCCACAAGCTTGAAAAACTCCTGAGCCAAGGCTGTGCCGTAGAATCTCCAGTGGACTTCGCCAGTCAGCCAGACCTTTTGTTTGCATGGTCAGTTAGAATACTCACCAAGCAGCACCCTCGCGGCGACAAACGCGCAGAAAGCAAACTGCGCCGTCACAATCTCCGACGAATCAGTGTACTTGAGATACTTCTGCGAGATGGACGACGTCTCGATGGCGGCGAGCTGGCAGGTCTCGGCGCTGCAGGAGCTGGGCAGCTTGACGATCTCGCTCAGCTCGGGCGGCGGATACGCGATGTGTTGGTGGAGCAGGATCATAGACGTATTATGCGTGATGTGTGCGAGTGTCAGGTTCGGGTCCATCTTGACGACTGTCTCGTCGGGCGAGACGTTTGAGTCTTTCCACTTGGGCGGGAGGAAGAGTTTCCAGCTGCAGCAGTCAGTGGCACAGTCCTTAGTTTAGGCGCTGACAGTGTCAAAGCGATCTAACATACTGCACCAGCCGCAGATCAAGCTCTTTGAACCGCGTAAGCCAGCTTCCCACCTCCTGCCGGTTCCGAAAGTTGACAGGCTGCTGGAGGAAGAACGACGTGACCTGGCTCAGCGACTCGGTCGCCTCAATCCGGTATGCAAAGGCTCCTACATTCGGGGAGTCGGACGCAGGAGAAGTAGCACTGCTCTTACTCGGCACGGCATCCGAGGAAGCCGGCGGAGAGCGCTGGATACAAGCGATGGGGTTGCCAATCTTGGCTGCTGATTTGTCCCAGATGCCAAAGTACGGCGTTATCGCTCGCTCGCCTCTGGCCCAGATTTTTCCGTCGCAGGGCAGGCGACGCCGGACGTCGTCGGATGTCAGGCTGGTGCTCCATCTAAACAATCATCAGTATCTATGCTCATATCTCGCTGGTCTACACTTACCCTGTTGTAATGGAACAGAGTCTGCGGGATTAAATTAGTGGCATAACGACAGGACAGACAGTAGATGCAATCTCCTACCGATCAAGCAGAAAGACATTCCAAAACACTCTCCTCCGCTCCTCTGCTTCCGCCCAGCTGCGTGGGTCTTCGAGCAAGGACAGCGGCCGCAAGAACGCCTGCTGCGGTTTCTCGTCCGTCTCGATGGTGAGCTGCAGATACTCGACCGTTCTCGTCAGGGATCCGATAATCGGCCACGCGCTGGTCAAGTTGCCTCCGCCCATCTATATACTTCTTAGCGTGGTCAAAAGTAACTGGCAAACGTGCTTACATGATCCGAAGCAACAATGATCAGCGCCTGCAGATTTTCCACCGACAGACTGGCCATCGCATCCCTCATGACAGTGTCTCGAGAGAGGCGGATCTGATGGTCTCTCTCTTCGTCTGTGAGGCCCAGCTTGTCGAGCGGGACATGGCGCATCGTAGCACAGATCATGGCATGAACGAGGACTTTCATCTTCTCAGCTTCTCTCTCGTTCTTCAGTCGAGCTTCGAATGTGGGCTGATGCACACACGGCAGCCAGGGATGGATCTTGGAGAAGTACGTCTGGAAAATGGCCTCCAGGATGTGCAGTGAGGGTAGTGATGGTGTATCTGCAAGTGCAGTCGTCGGGTCATCTATTCTGCGCTTCTTTGGCAGGAGTTCTGTGGGTAATCCATTTCCGCAGTTCAGGGGTATTTCTCTTTGACAATTCAACGGCGCAGCTGACAGCGAACTGTCGTTGCTGTCCCTGTGACTGATGCCACTGACGGAGTTTGCAATGAGCAGCGCAGCATGATAAACGCATCCCCGGGCGTCGACTCCAGCTGCTGCCGCTGCTGCCGTTGGCGACCGCCTTTGACCATCGCCATGGAGCAGTATTCTTTCCAAAACCTCTGCAAAATTATCAGTCGACTGCTTGCTATTTCATGCACAATAACTGCAACACACCTAAACGCCTATTCAAGCTCTCCACCGCACCGCTTTTCAGCCCGGGCTTCTGCTTCTTCCGGTCATAGACACAGGGGCACGCTGTGCAGGTTAGTCCAGGAAAATAGGTAGCAACAGCTTGTTTCTCTGTCACGTACACAGTCTCGAGCACTGCGAGCACGAGGGCGTTTCGCGGGAGCATTTCAATTTCCGACGGCGACAGGACTGGCACGCGGGGATCTCGTCGCCCGTCGCGACGGAGGATGCGCGACGCTCTCGCCGTCTGTCCATGACAGTCAATTAACATTGAAATCATGGACTGGGACAGCAGGAAGGAGGATTATCGACTGGGAAACGTTTTGCAACGGTGAACTCTCCTCATTGCCGGGAGCTGTCAGAAAGAAAACGACCCCGGTCACGTGGAGACAGCTGCTGTGACGGTGACAGTTGACAGTGACAATCCGGGGATAAGCAGCAGCAGCCATGCCTGGCATAGGCAATTAAAATTCAAGCTAAATTAGTCTTGAGCTAGGCACGAGTACTAACCGAGTACCGAATAATCACCGCGCCTTGTCAGCACTAACGAGAGAACGCGGGGAAGGTTGCAAAAGCCGAGACAAGAGCGCCGTTCAATAACCGTGGACGAGTTGGGAAAAAAAAGGAAATGAAATGTCACCAAGCTTGCAGATAAGAACAGATAAATAAAACCTATTTTTCTAGAATTAGTTTTTATGCTGTACGATGTGCAAATATCCGCATTGCGGAGAAATATGTATTTCCCACAACGTTTCTCCGCTCGAAGGTCCTTAGCGAATCTCAATTGGAGATACCCGAGGCGCTCTAGTTAGATAAGATGATATTAGATAATTTTCAACAAAACAATTAGTTACTGAGAAAGAAAAACCAGCCCGACAACTTTATCTGGTGTTTCGAAAGAGAGTGCAACTAGTGTTGCCGTGGAGCACATGAGGGGTCCTTCGTCCAGTTCTGGTGGAGGATTCTGCTCGAAGACTTTCACCTCTGTGAGGAAATCTTGTGGTGACAGCCTGGTCATTGCAAGCAAGAAGAGATGCTAATTATTTTTTCGTTATTCTCTTTTTCTTTTTCTTTCAAAGTCATAGTAAAGGAAAGAACGGAAGACGGCAAAGAAATAAACAAATAGACATTAAATAGCGGCCCGAGGATCATAAAACCGACTGATTAAGAATGAAAGTCTGGCAAGAAGTCAATTGGCAAGTTCCCTGCTGCATGTGAGGACACTGAGTGGAGGCAATAGGGCTATGCACGCAGATCCTCGATGTCTCAGTGGATATGATGCACGATACGACTAATAATTATTTTGTTACCCCTCTTTGCCCCTCAGAGAACTTCAAAACTGCGTGGTAGTCTGTTTGATGATTGTGCCAAAGAAAATCGATATACAAATTAACTATATATAGATTACTAGAAAGTATTATAGATTTGGTGGAAAAATTGAATTTTGCAAGGTACGTTTTTGCCTACTTTTTTGTATTCGCAGTATAAGATAAGCGTAAACAAAGAAAAGGAAGAATGAAAATAATGGCAATGTTATATTGACATAGCCTGAGTAACAACCTGTGAACTTTATACAGCTCTAGAGTAGGAGCATCAGTTCCACTGTAATCCAACAGCCAATGCCAACTCTGCCCTGCCGCGACCTCTCAAAAGCTTGTTTTCCTCTCAGCATAGTGAACAAGCTACAAGGATGATATGCAGGGATTACCAGCTGAATGTGGGGCAGAGCTGAAGCTGCATGAACGAGGCTGTGCATGAGCAACACCAGGAACCGGGCGCTTGCAAATTATGTACTATACATCTGTAGTTCAGAAAGACTCGCGATTCTTCGAATTGTAGACTCTGGTGGGTTATTATGCGGGAGATGGACACCCGTCGCATCCCCGTCCAGATGCAGTCGGAGACCCTCGAGTATGCCGTTTTTCTCTGCTGCGGCCACGCTGCGGGTTCGAAATGCGCGCAGAAATGCAGCAGTGACGAGGAGGATATTGTCGTGCTTGACGAAGCAGGTATGACCAGCTTGTCAGTTCAATAGCACGGACTTGATTGACAATTCTGTTCTCCCTCCTAGTGACGCCCAACTTTGAGGACCGGATACGAAACAGTCCTCCACGGGCAGCAAAAGCTGGCCAGGTCAGAGTCGTGTATGTATCGACGTGGAATGCATGGTACAACTACAGCAATGCTGACTGGGTCTAGATTGTTGAGCTCGCAAGCAGGCGTCTTTAGAGACCTCCGTCAGACGCATGTGCTGTTTGAACAGTACTGGGCCATCAACACGCGTGAGGTCGCGCTGCTCTCGTCGCAGCTTGTTTCAAGCTATCACAGCAGGGCCGTTACTATTGACGGGGACATGTGCCTGGGTTGGTCGACGACTTCGTTTCTAGCCAGCTCCTGCTGATGCTGAGTATAGAAATCTGCTACAACGTCAGCGAGTCGCTCTCCTATGTCGCCAACAAGATGGATCCCCTGGACAGCACGCTGAGCGTCAACATGAACCCTCGACCGGCCGACGTGCTGCTACAGCACAACTACGAGCCGCTGTATTTCCGCTACAACGTCGTCACCGGCCAGACGACCTACATCCTGCTCGACGCCAGATGCGAGCGGCGCGAGCTGCTCCACGCGCTGGGCGAGAAGCTCTCGACTTCGACAAGGTTACACCCCTTCAGCCTGCAGACGGTCATCCTGTTCAGCGTCCTGTCGACACGCACCACCGAGATCGACAACCTCTTCCGCCGGCTGCTCTGGATCGAGAGCCAACTGCAGGAGGGCTCCATCTTCGAGATCACTGACTCGGAGAAGTTCGCCCGGTACATCCAGCTGCTGCACAAGATGGCGCGGAGCCTGATCACGCTCGAGCACAACAACCAGCGCGACCGGTCGAACGTGGACCGGCTACTGCGCGACCACACCCGGCTGTGGAAGCTGAGCCGGGTCTATCCCGGGGCACACAAGCACAGCATCGACGTGCGCTCCCACGAACGCGTCCGAGACAACCTGCTCTGTCTGCGGGACTTTTGCACGGACCGCGAGCGGCAGATCCTGACGCTGCAGCGTCGGACGCAGGACTTTATCACGCTGCTGTACAACCTGATCACGGGCCACGACAGCGCGACGAACCTGCGGATCGCGGACGAGTCGAAGAAGGACAGCACGTCGATGAAGATCATTGCGGCGGTAACCATGTTCTACCTGCCGGCGACGTTCGTCTGCAGCCTGTTCGGGACGAATCTGGTTGCTCTCGACACGAGTGGGCCGGCAGAGCCGACGTTTGTCGTATCGAAGATGTGGTGGCTGTATTTTGTATTTGCGGTGCCGCTGACAGTGGTGACGATGCTGGGGTTTGTGGCGTGGAGGAGATGGCGAGAGGGAAGAAGGAGATTGATTCAGGAGAAACTAGATGTCTGACAGACTATATACTAGAACTTGCCCATCCTGGACAGCTCGCGAAGTGGCTAGAAGTATGAGTTAGGGTTTGCTTAATTTCGGCATGTATATATAATTCCGGTGTCATACGGACGAAGTAGGTCAAGAGTATATAGAAGGCGTTATGAGAACACAATTTAATCTCTCAATCCTCATTTACCCTCTCAAAGGAGAAAATAAAAGTTTACAATTCCCGAAGAGGCCATCTAATCCTTCATTATCTATCTACATTCTCAACATAAGTCACGGCTACAGCTTAGCCTTGATCTGACTCGACTCGGCATTCTTTCGAATCTCCTTCCAATACTTATCCTTCAACTGCAGAATACCAAAGGCCAACTCTGCCCACTTGTCGTCCCATGGCGGCAGCTCATACCCGTCCGTCCCCGGGGCCGGTGGCCCAGCCAGATCACGCAGGAAGTCAAAATACTCTTTGAAATCCGGCTTGATCTCGTGAAACAATGCTGACGGTCCCTTGTACTGCAGCCGCTTGACCTCCCACAGTTCCTGCTCCCGCGGACTGGGCAATTCTTTCCCCCGTCCGGCGAAGTAGCGCGCTACGGCCACGGCCTGATACTCGTACACGCGGAAGCTGATTGCTGCGCGGACCTGCCCGACGATGGCCAGCGAGGGATCGCCGATCTTGAAGATGTGCTGGTAGAACCCAGCCACGCGGTTGTTGGGCGTGACGGGGTCCGGCGCGAGGAAGGGGTACGACAGCTTGTAGCCCGTGGCGAAGATGACCTTGTCGACGTCGTCGACTTTGCTGCCGTCTGCGAATCTGACGTTGATCCCCGTCTGGGTCGTCTCGATGTGCTCGATCGTCGGCTTGATCTCGACGTTGGGCAGATCCCACGCTGCCTGCATTGCCTCGTTCTTCCCTCGCTGCGAGACGTACAGCGGGCCTTTGACGAGGCCGTGCAGATCGGAGACCAGATCTGCTGCAGAGACATTGCCCCCAACCACCACGACCTTCTTGTCGACATAGTGATCCGCAGAGCGGAAGGCCTTGGAGTGCTCGAACCGGTCAGGATGCGCGCGGAAGGCTTCGTCCAGCCCGGACACGTTCGGCACGAGAGGCACGCTGTAGTGTCCAGTCGCCACGATGACTGCATCGAACTGCTCTTCCCACCAGTAGTCCTGCGGCTGGCCGCGATACAGCTGGCCCGAGCGACGCAGCGTCAGCACCCATTTGTCGCCTTTCTTCTCGACCTTCTCCACCGTTGTGTTGAACGAGACGAGGTGGAGGTAGTCCTTGAACAGGTCCTCGAGATACGCTGCCACGACGCGAAACGGCCGCGTGGGATTGCCCCGGCCTAGCCGCTCAATTGACGCCGCGGAATTCTGCTCCGGGAAGGGCCTGTGGGTAAAGGCCATGACGCTGGCGCCGACATTGCTGTCGAGGCCGTCGTAGATGGCCGTTCGCGCAGTCGTGTCTTCAGGCAGAGGGGGAGTGAACTGTGGCAGATGCGAGGGAATCTCCTGTTTATTATTACTCTCTGGTGTCCCCGGGGCAGGAAAGACGTCTGGCTCAGGGTCATAGTGCCAGATGCCGCCGACACGATCCCGTCGCTCAAACACGCGGATCGTGTCGAATATCTTCTCTTCATGCAGCGCGCGGACGGCAGAGACTCCTGAGGGGCCGGTGCCGATGACCGCGATGCTGCGGTAGCGAGGGCCCATCTGGTACAACTTACTTTCAAGAACAGAGTTGTAGGTGAATAATATTATTTCTGCGTGAAGTAAACATACTCGCTATTCCTGTCCGATACTCTCCCCTACTTATACGGCAATTCAGCTCTCCGCAGTAATTGCGTGAAGCAGCCCCACAGTGTCGACATTCGCTGCAGCTGCAGAGGAATCGTTTCCCTAGCTATGTAGTATGTACTGAGTAAGCTTGATAGCTGTCGTCAAGGCGATTGGAGCTGTCGAGCGGGGTGTTCCTGACGTGATCCGCGGTGACTATGACCTGAGGCTAATGGCGGAGCTAATAGAAGGAATCCAATATCTGCATAACGTTCTATTCGGCACTCGGCAAGCACGTCGCATGATAAGAGATTATCTGCTGAGTAATGATAATGGGTGAATAGGATATTGTGCGTGGGTTCTACAGATACGACATCTCGCAGGGTAGAGTAAAAATTGACTACATATTCATATGTGTATCTCGAGGGAATTCTCATTTCTGCAATGGAGAAGAATGAAGAAATGATTAAAGAAAGAAGAAGAAGAATAACAAAAGAATAAACTAAGAGGGAAATGAATACAAAAAAAAAAGGAGTTAACCGATTTTGTTGAGATTTATTCGACAAAACTCGCTCACCGTCCTTATGCAGAGGTAGAAGAATTACTAATATCGCTGAACACTAGCAAACACCAGAAATTAATGCAATATAGTCTGGTCTAATTTATAACGACATCAACATGTAGCGGATTGTTGGAGTACAAACATGACACATCGCTATTCATAATATCTTTATCCTTTATTGAATTCATCTGCTGATAATCGAAATAAAGACTAGCCAGACTTCGGATCGAACGTCAAAATGTCTTGTTAAAGCATCCCTGTAGCCTTGCTGCCGTTATACTGACTCGCCTGACAAATTGTGTGCTACATCGGATATCGTGGGCGTGGGGTTCTAGAGAGATCAGTTGCTTTTTTAATACACGGATAGGAAATATATTCTGATGATAATAAATCATACCTTGCTCTGGTAGTCGACACGCTCCACTTCTCGTCCCACCGCCGCTGCTCTGTCTACTGCCCTCGCCTTTTGACGCTTCTCCCGGATGACCAGAAGCTGAGTAATGACGACGACCACTATGGCCGCGATGACGAAGGCGAAGGTTGCTGGGTAGCCGCGTCCTACACATAACAATCAGTAAGAGAAGCTGTGATATGCGATATTTGGGGGATACTCACGGAACGACGGTGCCTCAGTCTGCGGGAAGATGACCACTGGGAGCCAGGCTGCCACCTATACGGCATATATGTCAGACTGTTTAGAGAGTAGACAGAGGTGATCGACGTACGGCATATTGAAACCCGTTCATGCTGCTGACGACGAGGGCACGTTCCTCGTTGTCATCAGAGCAGACCTCGTTGGCCCATGTGTAGCTGTGACATTGTCAGAGAACTATATCCGTAGAGACTATGACGAATTTCCGTACAATATGGCAGTCATCAGCTGAACACCATCGGTCAAGAAAGCGAATTCCTTCAGCGGTACACTTTTCGGCCACGCGGCCAGGATGCCGTTAGGGATGAGGCCGTAAACCTGAAGACACACGTCAGAAAGCTACACGTTTCATGATATGTACAGTACAATATGCAAGTCCTAATTACCAGCGGTATTAGCACCCACGCAAACCGATTCTCAGTGTAATCTGCAAGAAATCCCCACTATTATCCATCTGGTCAGTGACGAATCCACACATGAGGGAATTTCTCCTGATCTTGATGGTAAACTCACCAACACGACGCAAAACGCAGAGATCAGGTTCGTCCCCGTCGGGATGATATTCCGGTCTGCGACGGAGAAGTTTTCTGCCTTGAGCCAGATGGCGAAGTAGCTGCTTGCGCCGCAGCTGGATCCGTACAACTGTGAAAACGTATCTCGTCAGCTCTGTTGAGTAGCAGATCAATTATGACTATTCAGAGAAAGCATACCACATAGCCGAGCGTGAAGGCGTACCACCCTTACATCATCAGCTGGCAACTACGAACATATTCGGAAGGATCTCATACTCCATCTCTTTGCGACACGATGAAATGTTGAGAAGGTAATCTTTGCTGGTGCCGCTTTGCCAGCCTTCGCCACCCTGTCCAGCGATAGGCGAATCTCCTCGTCATTGAGATACCAGACACGCGTGTTGTGCGGGACGTCGGGGTAGAAGAGGAAGGTAGCAATGCCGACGGGGACGGTCATGCACTGTGTCACGTCAGCAGTGATCATCACCACGAGTATCTCTATACAAGGTTGTATAGATACACGGGGACAGACATACACCACAGACGAGATACAGCCATCTCCAGCCAGCGATACCGTGATGGCCGTTGAGATTTTCGTAAACGGCGGCTTGCTTCGATGAATTCAGTATTTGACAGATATTCTATCTGCTGTACTTTTGCTTACCAGGTAGCCGCTGAACGCAGAACCTAGAGGAGCAGTCATGTGGAAGATGGCAGTTCGTTTGGCTGAAAATAGCGATTAGTGAACAAATTTGACTTGTCCACGCTGGACAATAACCCAGTAATGCTTTTAGCAAACATACCCAGTTCGGTCTTCGTGTACCTGTTTATACCTATTAGAAAGTTTTTATTCTCTCCAGAAGAGAAAATCACTTGGAACTGGAAACATACCACGACCCCAAAACGTACAGCATACACGGAAAAAAAGAACTCTCGAACAACCCGATCAGGAAGCGAAACGCGTACAGCTGGCCGTAGTTGGTCAAGCCCGCCTGCGCCATCGTGAACACGCCCCAGCCAACCTCCATCGCGGCGAGCCAGTAACTGGGACGAATCTTTTGAATGATGAGCGTCGAGGGGATCTGCATGATGGCGTAGGCGACGGTGTAGGCGGCGTTCTGTTGCATTGCACTTAGACAGAGTTCATTCCGTGTATCTGCCTGAGGAAGAGATGTCTGACGGAGGACTCACTGCATAGGTATATTGATTGCCGAACATTTTGAGGTCCTCTTGCATGCCGCTGTATTCATTAGATATGTATTCATTTGGTCTTTTCTATTGGGCATTCTACATACCTAACGTAAGCATTCGTGAGGTTTGTTTGGTCGAGATATTTGAGCTGGAAATATATTTTCCTTGTTGGCTAATCCTTGCTTTGTCAACGAGGTACAAGATAAGAATACTTACGAAAAACCCCACGCAGCCTATCGTCAACAGCGCAAAGTCCAGCTTGCGCACCAGCTTCCGCTCCTCGGGCGATTTCAGATGGGAGTCGGTATCCCATATGAAAGAGCGAAACTGTCGCTCAGTTAGAAAACTCAAGAACGTATATAATAGTTGTGCAAGCTAGACTGTTATTGATAGATGGATATACCGATGTCCAGGGATTTTTGATTGTCATGCTGTTGATAAGACAGTGCACAGCTATCCACACTGTGACCCTTCTACCACAGGAAATTTGGGAACAAGAGTCAATAGTTGAAAATGAGGAAAGCATGCATGTTTATCGCTGTATATGCTGGAATATTTATTCTCCTCCTCTGATGTTTCGTTTCTGCATTCCTGTTTCTGACCAAGCAGTTAGCGCATCACGTCTTCGAATCACGCGATTGCGCATGATAACGATGGCCACAGTATAGTACCTGCAAGTAGGTATCGTACACGGCGTGGCAGCTAACTTATTTGGCTTAGATAGCAGCATTCGGACATGATTGATCGGTCTGCCGCATCCTGCAGCTAGGATACTAGAAATCTCTAGCCTGGGGTCGGCCACTCAAATGCCTACCGACATGATGGAGAAATTTGACAGATTATTAATTACTGCGCCTTCCTGGATTGGAAAATGTCCACATGTGGAGAGTAGATAATAATATGAATTATCTTTACACTCTTCTCGTTTTCGCGAGACTGGCAGAATGGATGATTGGAGACTTACATGACCTGACCAGGTCCATCACAGGTCAGGATTACGATAAACCAAGTTTTCGTTATTTTGTGCCAAATAAAATGTCATATTATAATTATACGCATGGCATGCGCTGTATCTTGACCTGGATCGTTTATCCCTCTGCTTCCTTTGTAAATGATAGAATAATACATTAAGCCTAGGGACGATGATCAATTTAGTGTTTTAGCAGCATCACGCCATCTTTCTCTTCGTCTCTCTAGAAATATTTAAGTCATTATTACAAGGAATACTTCACAAACTCAGGAGCTGACACTTCGATACTCAAGTTACTATGAAGCTTCCGGCTGTTATTCCACCAGATGTTTTTACAGTAACATCCCTCTATAGACAAGTGAACTACCTGAGCAGCTAGAAGAATTTGGATCCTTCGGAAGTGAATTTGCCAATGCTATATATAATCTCTGTTTCTCATGATGGTGATATCATTGTTTACGGCATCCCTCTACGTCCTCAACGCAATCATAAGGACAAATCGCACATCTAACATCTCACTTTGCAACACCCTTCGCGTCCGTAATGACGGCCTTCTCAGCAAGATTCAGCTCGTCATTCTCCTGCGAATATACTGCTGCAGGATCAATACGGGTTGCATCGGGCTTGAGATCTTTGACTACCAGCCAGGTAGGGTAGACGGCGAGACCTGTAAAATCAGGGCATGAGATTCTATTCTTGCAGATATCATTGCAGTCACAAGTCAATCCTGACATACCTAACAGAATAGTGTTCACAGCCAGAGGCACACGCCCACCGTACCAGTTACGAGTGTTGAGGCCAAAAGACACTGCCTGGGCAAAGCTCTCCTGTCCACGTAGGATGCCAGTGAATCGTGCTGATGGATGTCAGTTGTATTCAAGTTCTTTTTTTTTTGGATCCAAGACCTACATAATTCTGAGATATTGTCCGTCAAAGTAGAAACTAGATAGTAAATCCAGTTCTGCAGAGACTGGCGCGAGAATTCTAACTCATGTTAGTCGATTGCAGATATGTGAGAGTAGCATCGTAACATACCCCACAGCAACAGCACGAAGAAGCCTTCTGTAAAGCCCTTGTCCGACCAGTCAAGCACCGGTGGGTTGGCAGTGTATTTTTCCTGGATAACCCAACCGTATATCCACGCCACCAGGTGAAGGAAGACCACGTAGAAGAAACTAACGACACAGTTAGCTGGTTGAGAATATTGTGTGACATTAAGTCTTACCTGTAAACAAGCCTCTTCTTGACCGTCAATCTTTGGTAGTCCAGAAACAGACTAATGAGCCAGGAGGAGAGCAGAGTCGCGAAGTTCGCTAGACGATGTTAGTACAAGTCCGCTCAGCCAAGTGACTGCAACTTATCTACTTACTGACGAAACCAATCAAGGCACGCGCGCGCAAGCCAAAGTAGTATGTCTCGAAATCTGTCAATCGAATTAGCAAGATTAACACTTTCAAGGTAACAAACGCTGGTCTGACGCACTCCCGCTATACTGGTTGAAATATGAAGCCCAGAAGACCGGCAACAACAGAGCAATCTGCTTCATTAGACAAGATCATAGTTTCTATATGGCCGTCAGCAACATACCTCTTTCTTCGTAGAAGCTTGCCACAGTGCACGCATCTCTGCGAGCAGCGATTTTTCGGCTTTGACTATGACCTTGCTGCCGTCGGAGCGTTGTACCTGAAAATATTACATATTAGAGCGCATTCCATGGCGAGGATGATTTTTATTTACCTTCTCGGGAGACGTCAGAGCGAAAGCTAGTGGAGCAGCCAGAACCTGCAGGAAGACGAAGACGAGGTACGTCTCTGCATCAGCACTGATCAGCACGTCTGCATCCCTAATGAATATAGATCATGACCAGAGATATACGCACGCCATCCCACAGAGCCTTTCTTCTTAGCTGCGGGGGAACTAGAGTCTGTCAGAAATAGCCATCTTCACTATACGTCTGAGCAGACTCACTGATTCAGAGCAAGAAGGATGGCGCCTCCGACAAGCGGGCCGCCAGTACGGAACCAGAGCCAGATACTGACGACCAGTCAGTTCAGTCGCAAATCTCGAAGAGAAAACATGGGAGAGCTAACTTCATGTATTTCCCTCTCTTGGACGGTTCCGGGTAGCCCAAGGCAATGGCTCCCTCGGATGCCCAGAACAGACCTGCTCTGCATTTGACGTCAGCTATGATCTACACACCTGGGATAAAAAAGAGAGAACGTACGAAATACCACAGGCGACAGAGCCGAGCAGAACAAACCAGACATTGCCCTAGTCAATCAGATCAGCATTCTATCGAGTTGAACTCATGATTGTGACAATGAGAGTACTCACGAAGCGGTTATTCGTGTACAATCCGGCACTTATAGCAGAAGCAGTCAGCCTGTTGAACGCCATTTCAATCTCACCCTTGATCAGAGACGAGTGAAACATACGAATAGATCGGATATCCCAGCGTGCTGAGCACCAGCGTCCATCTCAAGCCAATACGATTGGCAATCGGTCCGCCAAACAGACAGAGGAAGCCCACTGGAAACATCCTTAGCTGGGTACTGTATAAATTCTCTTTCAACGATCCACCTACTCAACGCAAACACCAACGCATTCGCTGCATTGATCAGAAACGGCTGCTCTGCGCCCGCCGCTCCCAGCGAATTCATGGCATTCCACAGTCCCGGGGCCAGGAAGCCAGCGCCGCCGATGACAAAGGCGTTGAAGAGAGTCGTGCGGTACCATTTTCGTTTCTCCAGCTGCACTTCATGTTGCTCTCCGTGGTTATTATTTGCAGGAGGTTCGACAGACACGGCGTCCTTTTCTGCCATTATCACGAAAGTAATGTGTGTATATTCTTGGTCTCAGTGCAGAGGAAAACAATATAAAAATATAGATTCTAGTAAGTTTTGTTGCTGTCGTCAGATAACTAATTCCAGCAGGAATAAATAAAACATTCTATTATTATATCTAGCTAAATCTTTATTTCCCTACTGTCATAACATCTACTCGATCGCGATCTCGCGCGCTGAACGACGGACGGAGAAACCCCGAACAGCAAACAAAAAAAAACGGGTTTTGAGCATTGCTCATTCTCCATGCCGATGGCGAAATCTTGGCATATCCCCACTGCGTCTCGTCCACCTTCCTTTTCCTTCCTTAGAAGGGCACACGGGCTAACTGTTATTGTTAGGTGGTTAGGAGGTAGGTCCCTAGGTAGGGATCAATCGAGCATTCGAATGGATACTCTTCCTGTGTAGAACTGCGCGTGGGTTGTGGTAGGTGCAGCAGACGACAGGGTCTGGACTGGGCGTGCGCTATGGTAATTGTTAATTGAATTGATCGATTGCATCAGATAATAGATTGCGCTAGTTTAACTGCCGGCTGGCTACCTTATTCATTTAAGATTGATTGACGGGCACGGAAATATTCCGTCGGCGATGGATATAATTGCAACAAGATTGACACGTGGAGGTGGAGCTTATTTTTTTTCCCAATGGATAATACTTTGTCGTTGATTGATAGACGATTTTATAACTTTCTCTCTTTTTTTTATTTTTTATCTTCTTTTCCTAACCTCAATGCTGTTGTAAAGGAAATCAAAGCAAAGGATGGAGGTAAAAAAAAAAAGAGAGACGCTTATATAGATACTGGCCGGTGTCTGTGGTATATTTTAAGCTTATATTAAACAATAATTAAAGAGTTCAATTTGGCGTTTCCGTCTATCCACCGTACTGGAAGTAGTTTGCAGAGAGGGTGACCAGTGATGTCGCGGGCTTGTATCCGTGGGTAAGAAGCCCAGAGGCACCTCTATACGGGGGAATGGACTGTGCTGCAGCCAGACAGGTGAAATCCGGAGATCATTGATGCTCTTTAGAACTGATTGTTTTTTCATATCAAAGAGGTCTGCCATCACGAACCAGAAGAAATGCTTATCGCGTCTCCTTCTCTTGGCGCTCCTTGTTGATATCTCCAACAGCGCATACTTCGCGTCCGGAGTTATCAAAACCTTGGTGAGAGATAATGGGCTCATTGCCCCATATTCAACTAATGTATCCCGCCGTCCCTTATCCAGAGCGGATAAATCTAACGTTGCTTTTTTGACAGTGGTCAAATCACTCCATAAAGATATCCCAATGTGGTCGTGAGTGAATCCTACAATGCAACTCCTTTCGAATGGGTGATTGAACCAATAATAGGAAGGTCCAGTTTCACAGCAGGCCTTTTTATTTCCTTGCGCAGACCAGATAGTCGTCCCGTTTTTGTTCGACGCCAGAAGGAGATCATTGGCAGGGCTCCAGAGTAATTGACAAATGGTATCGTCTTCCTTTACGGCAACAACATCTTTCAACGGAGCCATTACATTACCTGGATCAAAGCTCTTGATGCTGATCCGTCGTGCCAGATCAGCAATTGCAAGGAAAGACCCATCCTCGCTCCATACAAGATGCTCAATTGCCATAAAATTCGCTGGAGTTTTCAGGAGTTGTGTTCCAGTGCGCGTAAACAGTTTTAAAACACCATCTTGGTCCCCGGTACAATAATAAAGGCCAATACTGTCCACAGTCAGTGCGGTGATGGGCTCGTGCAGCTCTGTTGATGACTCTGAGGCGAATGAAACCAGCGTGGAATCTCCTCGAACTCAATTGGTCGCTGGCATTCTCATCATCATCTGTAAGTCGTATCAGGGCATTTTGTTCCCACACAGTGCAGAAATTGTCCCTGAGATCGTGGACCCTTTTTGCAACTGGATCGATTGCAAGATCCGTAATTGGAGTACTGAAGAAAAGCTGATAGACAAGTGCAAAGTGGTGAAAGTCCCAAATCCTTAGCGTTCCATCACTACCTCCAGTCACGAAGAAATCACCATTTGGACTGCATCTAATATGCACCGCGAGAGATGTAGATATCTGAATCGTGCCTTCGGTGGGGTGCCACTTGAAAATGCATCCATCATTGAAAATCCCCAGAAGAGGGCCGGTGACAGGATTCCAACACACATTCTGTACATCAGTATAGTTTCCAAGACGGCCTTGACGGTCTTTGCCTTTGTCGCCTTCTCGTTCGCATCGGCCCAGGAGGCGTGGCCGGGCTCATCGAGCGCCCACACCGACAACGGCAGCCCCCGGTATGCGAGGGCGACTTTACTACGGTCTGGGCTAAAATCCACAACACGAGGAGAATTGCTCCGTTGGAATTCATATGAATCGTCGCGCAGAACAACAGGAAAGGGTTTCCAGCCATCTTCCGAGCACTCTGGGGACATCCACCAGAATTCAGAATTGTCTAAGCAGGCGATAATGTTGCTATCGGATTCACCAAGAAAAGAGACAGCCATAGCCTTGGCATTGTTCTGATTATCCACCGAGCATATCACTTCTGACGTACTGACTCTCCACACTATCGGCCTGGAGAGACTACAGGTGACCATCTTCTCCGTCATTGTTGAACCACATAGCAACCACACGTTCTTGGCGAGGGAAGGTGATCGCCTCTTCACACGTGTCTGCATTGCACAGAATGACCGATCCGTCTGTAGTTAACACAGCGAAATATCTGTTGACACACATTATCCTCAATGGGTGAGAATCAGAAGGGACTGTGAAACGGGCTTGACAGTCACCCCAATCATCATTCGAAAGACCCGTGACAGTTGGAGCGAAGGATCCGAGCTTAGGTGTAGCTTGCTGGTAAAGGATCGATTTCGGAGGACAGAAAGATGTCATCGTACTGGAACTACATCGCTCCCTGATGCAGCGACTGTGGTCTCTTGCTTCCATCCCTGCAACGGCGGCCTAACGATCGTCAGTGGCAATGATGGTGTTGGTGACCAGTACTGTTGTCAGCGGAGTCGACAGGAATATAATATTAAAACCGATCGCATGACAGAAACAATAGCAAACATGGCTGGGGCTAGTTTCTCTTACAAGGTTCGCTTTGGACGAGGGAAAAGAAAGGGTGGAGGAACTTGGATTCTTGACGAGCCAAGTGGGCGAGAGGTGCCTCGTCCGGGCAGGCAAGCGAGGCACGCGGAACACGAAGCCCTGGCCCTAGACCCTAAGCCCTTTCTCTGAAAGTGAGGTCAACAGTCACACGTGATATTACTCAGTAGTTATCTAGGAGGCAATTGTGAAGATACTCGTGTCCATTATTATCTGATATTATCTGAAGAAGCTAGCCTAGCTAGAATTGCGCAAGTACTAGCCCTGTGATCCTACTCAGCGCGGAATGTCACGTTCACCGTTCCAGTCACAGACACGGACTCGGATTCAAGAGCAAGCCCAGTACCACTAAACTCATTCCCCACAGATGCTCGGTCTTGTGCCATTTGCTGGACGACCGGTTGATGAGAATGGCGATGTAACCCCATACTAGAGATTTCTACCGGAACAACCTGCCTGCCGACAATCTCGGAGTAGTCCCGGGCCTGCTCGATCGCGTCGAGGAGGGAGAGTTTGCGTGCCTCGGACTCGAGGGCTTTTCGCGTCTCGTCCGTCAGACGCCAGTTGATGGAGGCAATTTCGACGTACGGGGTGCTGACGAGCTGGCTGCAGATTTGACCGAACTTGTCAAAGTCTCGGAAGAGAGCCTCAATTTTGATGCTTACTTCGTATTGTCGCTGTCCTGGTTTTCTGGTCCCGTAATCATATGGCACGTGAGAGTTGCTCCTCATTGAACCGACCGTAAACACGGTGACTGCGGCATCTGGGGCGACGGCACCTGTCTCGGTTTTCTTGGAAAGCCCTTTGAGCAGCTGCTGGAGCTGATTGCTGGTGGAGGTCACTTGCTGAGAGACTTCATCCTGGGAAGGGCCGACAGATTTCACAAAGAAATGTGGACTCGTTCAGCCTTGCGAGAGAGTCTAGCTGTACCGATGACTTTGATTTCAAGCGGCGCCATAGCTTGCTCAGTGTGCTGAGGAGTTCAGTAGGACAGCAATATTTTGTGACTCTTAGTAGTAGATGCAGTGATGTTATTAGGAAAAGATATTTCAGCCTTTTCTGAACCAACATGCAGGTATATATATATTTTGGCCTAGGCAGCAACAGCAAGAGGAGCGGGGCTGAAGCACAGCCACACATTTATCCAGTGTATTCATGCTGGGATGCCTGATTTCAGAGCGTAGATGTTCATCATTCTCTGATAACCCAAGATTTCAACACAGTACACTATCAGGTAGCAAAAAATAACCCGAATACAACTATATCAAGACTCCTGGGGAAGCAGTCCTTGGAGAGGGAGACTAAGCCTAAAGCGGCTAGACTGGCACATGACTGGACGAGACTGTGATGAGCAGTATTGAACATCTGCAGTGTTACAGCCGGAACTGTGGTGGAGAGGGGCTAATTGATTTTTGGGACAAACTCGCAATTTAATGTATATCAGTTCTGAAGCTTAGTATATGTGACTTCACAGCTTTACAGCTTGTTATGTCAACCGCAGCGGAATCCTCCGCCAAGGCCGCTCATCTATTACCCGATCAGGAAAATCCACATCCCTTAGGACTATTGACCACTCAAATTCAACCCTGCCGCAGTGACTTCGTTGGTCCATACCGTGGAGCTTCAGTAATTGCCCTTCTCTCGATGAACAGTTGCAAGGCTACATGGTTGATCCGATTGACCGAAGTTATTTCGATGCAGCCTGATATGAAATTGACCAATTGTTTTAATATATCGCAGAGGGCTCAAGCGCCAAAGTTTCTTCAGCTGCAACCCCGCAGGATTCGTAATTTCGTATTACGAGTAGTCGTGAGCTCTGCCCAAAGCAGCTCTGTAGTATCTTATGAAGCTTCCATGATAAATTTCAACCCGGTGTTCTAGAGAGTCGTATGAAGCTGTTTAGTGGGAGCTGTTTTTTAAGGGCCCTCATAAAGCCAGCAGCTTTCGTTCTTCTCCACTTTGCACAAAATGACAGCTAAATCGACAGGGGTGCATGCAAGCAATGATTGGAATTTCAAATCTACCTGCTTCTCCTCAGCTTACTTGGATAGTTAGATGCCTAGATTTTGCACCTATCCCTCTTTCTGTATACCGGACGGCGAATCACTATCTAATCCAACACCATAGGCTTCGCTGGATTTGTGATTGGGATTATAACGTCTGCTCTTACAAGATAATTGTTTGATTGACAATGGGTACCAGACTGTTCCATCACATCAATGCAAACGAAGACCATGGAATTCAACAACACTGGAACCTTGGCAGAGCAAGAACAACGGTAATTTTTGGGAAATATCAAAATAAGAAGGGATGGGATGACTAGCAGCCCAGAAGCTTGGGGAGTCGATCATTCTTGTCCTTTGTCTCGGGCATCCGTTTGCTTTACGGGTGGGATCGTCCCCACCAACCAGAGGAGGCTTACGCGTTGGAACAATCCCAGCATCCTCTCATTTGTCATCAGGCCCCCGGGGGATATAGTATCCATCCACTGGGACCCTCTCAATATAACTTACGTGCGGGGGGCCACCGCCTCATCGGATCGACAGGAACTGCGTATGTTCATTAGATTGCATGCTAAAGAGCGGGAAACAAATGGATGATGCCTAGAGGTTTCCCTTGGATTTAACAAGTTATCAATTCCCAAAAAGAAATAAATTGATTTGTAAGTTTATCTCGGAATTTTCAGCCTAACGTCTCTCAACAAACTCACAGAACTGGAGCCCGGCAGATTTCAGTGCATCAGGCAGAAGCTTGAACATCCATGGTGGTCATCGTTTTGTCTCGTCATAATGCAAAGGGAAAATTCCAATTCTCCCCTGTTGAGTCAGCTTGGTGGTTTGGATGATGTTTTCCTGACTGATATGTTCTTCAATGCGACACATGTGTCCTGGATGAGTGCTTCTTCCGACTCACGAAATGCACCGTCTGGTCGAGTTCCAAGCAGTCGGGTCTGCGACCGGTGTATATGGTATTTTCTCGTTGCCCACGCCATCTCTACCATCGCGGGCTAATCGATCTCAGGAAAAAGGTCAAGTGTAAGAAACAAGCTGCGCGACAAGTCGGACTGTTCACTACTTACCCCGTACACCAGGCGACTTACAGCGTCCGAGTTGTTCTCGTTGCCGCGAGGTTGGCTGGCCTTGTGTTTACTCCTCTACGAGACGGAAGCCTGGTCCTCCTCTGGGCTCTCATCGGAAAGCATCTTCCAGGCCTGCACCAGGTGCGCAATCGCCTAAGTGAAGTTCGCTAGGTGAATGGATACCAGGCAGACTGATTCAGCAGTAGGTACTCTGCAACGTACGGTCACCTTGGAAGAGAATGAGATTCCACCTGGGGCCGGGTCCCCTTGGATGGGCCTTGCTGTGGGTGAAACACATAATCGCTCCTCTCAAGGCAATGACATTGCCTTGTCAAACCTACCTTTGCATCCACAGGACGAACGACAAATGTCAGTTGCACTTGCAGGGCCAGCTTTCTCGCTGATCTGACTTATGTGCGAGCAGACTCGATGATTTCTTCGAGTACATTCACCCGTCCGCCTTCCTATTTCGGAAAGAAGAGTTCTTCCGGCAATTCCAACGCCAATCGCTGAGTCCAAATCTGCTGCAGACGATTTTCGCTGTGTCTCTCAAGATCCTGAATCCACCTACAATCGATCCTGCCGTTCCCATTGACCTGGAATCCCTCCGAAATACGTTGAGCAACTCGAATAGCGTTCTGCAAGGAAACGGCAATGGGCCTGCGCCGTTGGATGTCTTTCAGCAGGCGTGCCTGCTCGCCTACTATGAGTTCCATCAACATCCAGGATCGCGAGCTTGGCTTCGCATCGGTCAGCTGACCAGAGAAGCCTATCGGTGTGGCTTGCACCAACTCGACAACCGAAACCAATGTCCGCTGTATAGCTTTTTCGGCGACATTCCTGCTGACCAGCTGGAGGAGTGGCGACGCGTGTGGTGGTTTGTCTACTGCCTGGACTCGTATTCCAACATCACTGCTGGGACTCCCTTCGTAATCGAAACAGATAGCATCCAAACCGCGCTTTTTGGAGCGACTTCAGCGGACGAATCGAATGCATCCGGTCGAATATTCCTGCCTCCGGACACCGGCGAGCTGTGGAAAACCACAAAGAATGTTGTAACTCGCGGACAGGAAATCAATCTCAATCTTCACTTGGTGACGGCAATGGTTCTTCGAGAAGCTGCTACTCTCCGCCGTCTGCGAGCACAAGAATCATCCGATCGTCTCGATGCGCGTCTCTGCGATGTCAAAGACCACCTCTCTTCGGTCCGCCTCGCCTTACCGGCCCGTTATTTGAGTCCCAGTCGAAACACCGTTAGCAACGAATCGCAGTCAGAACACCATGACCGGATGATCTGTATTCTTCACCTTCATATTGCTCGCATTTTGATGTCTCTTCCCCCATTTCCGGCCCAGGAGGCCAACACCGCCGACGCTGCATGGTTTGAGAACTGGCTGGCGAGTCTGGAATACTGTGAGGACGTTGTCTCTGTAGTCCGTGAATGGGACGGCTCCTTCTCGTCCCGGACAGATCCAGCTGTGTGTCTTATCGTCTTCACCGCTCTGATCGTGTTGTATCTCCATCAGGAATGTCAGGTCCCTGTTCCTAATATCCACGAAAGAGTTGCGAAGCACAATGAAGCCCTTGAGCTGTTCCTCGACCAATTTGCTTCGCTGTGGCATCTTCCGGCTTTTTTAAAGGGTGAGTGCGTGAATGTGCGAGGGGACATCGAGTTACACAGGACTAACTTGACCACGTTCAGTATCCGTTGAGAAATTCAAGCAGCGTTACCCTGGTCCTCTGGATCCCGCAACGGTGGAGCAGATCATAAGGCAATTTACCGCCCCTCTGCATTGGCAGCTTCGAACTGCTGTGTAACAGCAGCGGCAATGCAAATGACAGCTCTCTGTCCAGCGGGAAGGATACATATACTGTATCCTTGAATTCCGCTGCCGCTTAGTCAAATCAATTATTAATTGGAAAGAGAAGTACTTAATAACGTATGATCAAATGTATGTGACCAAGGGATCCGGAGCAACTTGCAGTGGATGGGGATGGCAGGGGTGCCGGAAGAATTCCGAAAAGGGTAAATTTAACCGGGGCCTTCTACGTGCTTGGTTATCTTGTGGCTACTTGCCTTGTTTGCACCAGCATGTCGATGGACACGTGCATCTGGCAGTAATTCTTTATCATATTTATCAATACCTACCTACAAATAATAGCAAATAAAAGCGGACAGAAATTGCGAGCGTCTCTCACTTCTTCTCATCTTTCATGGAGCTAAGCGCTCATATCTGAGCATAATCGCTCCGTCATTATCAAATTTCTCTCTCATCCACTACCCGCCGTACCATCGAGCTCAAAGTCCTTCGGGATTTCCGGTCCCCAAACAGAGAGCGCACCAGCAACTTGTCGACCGGTCGGGGAGTCTTCATTCACGACGTCGCCGTCTGAATAGTGCTCCATCTTGAACCCGCTGCTATCCTGCCAATAATCAAAGATCTGGCTGCCTAGGATATGGCGTCCAACGCCCCAGACTGATTTCCAGCCGCGCTTTGCCAGCCAGTCATGGCCAATCAGCTGCGTATCGAAGTCTGCAACCTCGTAGGAGGTGTGGTGGAGGTAGGTCCGTTTTACTTCAGGGGGTGCCCGCTGAAGGAACATGACGTGGTGGTCTGAGTATTCCTTCCCCAGGTCGAGGCGCATGAACGTGAGGACATCGATGCCGGCGAGTTTGGGATGCCAGAGGATATCAGAATGGATGATGTTGAAATTTGACGTGTAGAAGTCGACCTCCTCGTCGAATTCCTTGCACACGTATCCGAAATGGCCCAGCTTGTGGACGACCGCCGGACCTTCCTGACATGTCTGGGATCGATTCTGTCTAGGCTTGTCGAAGGGGGTATTGAATTGTCCCTGGGAATGGGATGCAACTGCTGCGTCCGTAGGATCGATGTCTCGCTCCTTTTGGCCATAGATGATGTGCATGAAGGTGTCGTTGGGGCGGGGGATCGTCACCATCTTTCCGCCTCCAGGCGCGTCGTCGAGGTCCTTGACGATCGCGCCGGGGATTCTGGCCGCTTTGTCAAAGTTCTCCTGGTCGCGAGCGACGAATGCTGGACCCAGAAACTGGGGCTTCCCTTTCCCTCCTGTTGAGGCGACGTAAACGTATGGGTCTTTGCCGTATCCGCGGAAGTAGATGGTGTTTCCTTTGCGCGCGACTTCGACCAAGCCAAAGTCCATGGCAAACCTCGCAAAGGTCTCCAAGTCCGGATGCTCGAAGTAGACGTGTGCCAGCCGGACAAGCTGGACCTTCGCTGGATCGTTCTTCACGTCGGAAATAGACATGGCTGGTATAATGCGCTCACGCGGGGAGCACGGAAGAAGGGGCACGGCGTTGTGGAGGAAGGATACCAGCAAAGGAATGACCACGGGTACGTCCCATAATCCACCGTGTCGTATCTTATATCTATTTCAGTCCGCTAGCGTGAGATGAGAAGTGGCAGGTCCAGGGCGATGGACGCGTCGACGGAACAATGGCAATTTCCTGTTTTGGATCCTCCGCGGCGTAACTCCGGCTTCTCCGCATAGCACTTGGAATGATCCGAACAATGAAAGCATATTCCAGTTTATGCGGTGTAGATGCATGAATTATGTGTTTTTACGAGTCAGAAACGAAGAATATTCGAACAACGGTGTTTCCTCGACGAGTATATATGACAACATGCATGGAGGAAACCGAGTCATGGTATCAATGCTCTTCAATTTTCCTTTCTGTCATGGAAGTAGAATCAATTCCAGTCGTCATTGTCGGTGCAGGCCCTTCAGGACTGGTCCTTGGGCTCTGTTTGGCCCACTACCACGTGCATGTACGGATCCCTTCCAGCATCAATAGTTCGGTTTCTAACACGACGCGAACTAGTCCATAATACTGGAGAAGGAGGTCAACGTTGCAGATGACCCCCGAGGCGTCTTCCTCGCCGCTGATGCCCTTCGCGTGTTATGGCAGATCGGGATTGAAAAGGACATTCCGTCCATCGGACACGGTGAGCTTGAATCCAGCCCTGCCTGTCTGAAGCAACCGGATAACGGAGAGCAGAAGTCGATGCGGTGCATTTCCACAAAAGCAACTTCCAGAATCCTTCCTTGCTGACGCTCGACGTGGGCCGGGACTGGGTCCATCAGACAGTCCCGTCGGCCCTCCTGAAGAGCCAGCCGAAACTGGGTATGGATTTCAGCTGAATTAGAGACGACATTGCTAAAACCTGACACTTCGTAGAGCGCTGTCTACGCCGCCACGTTGAAGAGTCACCGTTCTGCACTCTGCGCAGTGGATGTGAAGTGGTCGACAGACGTGAAGTCGACGACGGGGTGATTGTATTCTACCTTGACAATGAAAAGAAAGTGACCAAACAGATCAGCTGTCAGTGGCTTGTTGGCGCTGATGGCAAACGAAGCACCGTGCGGAAAGACTTCCTCGAGCCGTCGGCCGACATCAGGCAGGGACCAGGCCTCGTTCAGTACGATGGGACGTGGGTGGCAGCCAACCTGCACATCCGCCTGCCTACGCCAGAGACACATCCCGAACTTCCCCTCTGGGAGCTTGGATACACCCCAGAGCAGGTTTATGAGATGTACTGGCCTCAAGGCTGGCATTTCTGCACCCCGCCGGGCAGAGCGACAGCCTGTGGCCGCTTTGGCCCGCATCAGGATCGTCTATGGCGCCACGAGTTTGCCGTATCAAGCTCGAATGACTCCATGGACGCCGAGAGCCTCTTGTGGGCTCATCTAACCCCGATGATCACCCGTCGCGAGGACCAGGCGGGGAGGCGCTTCCCAGGGGGTGCAGTCCCATATCCGCGAGACTGCATCGAGATTTGGCAGTGTCGACCGTACACGTTCTCCCACCGTGTTGTCAATAGATGGTTTGACCATCGAACGATCCTGATAGGCGACGCTGCGCATGTCTTTCCTCCTTTTGGCGGCCAAGGCA